AATAGAGGAGAGGTGTTTTTTGTCGCAACGCCATAACATCCGTAATTCTTCAAAATTAATTATCCAAAAACAAAACATTTTCTTTGCTATTGACGAAAAATTATAATAAAGTTAATGTTTTCGTAACATAACCTCGAAAATTTATTTTTATGAAACGCTCGCTGCATTCTTAAAAACAAATTTTCACGCACGGACTAGAAAAATTACATTATTTTACTCCGTGGTAGCACAATAGACTGCTATTCTTTATAATAAGAGATCTCGCATTTGTTAATATTTGTTTACTCATCATTATATTCCTATTAGGTTACAGATAAAATCAATGCTGTGCGAAAATATAGCACGAATCAAATAGTGAAATGAAGAAAAAGATAAATCTCTGCAATAACAATATTAGCTATTTATAGAAAAGGATGACACTATACAACAGATATGCAACAATGTACAATTTTTATTAATTATTTCCTACAGTACGGCGCGGCGTGTTTATGGCATTTCTGAATCGACGCGCATCCGCCATTTTGTTTTTATTACTGACATCGGGAAGTTACTCTGCTCCCGCGTTTATTGTAATTTAGTTTTTGATAAAGAAAATAAGTTACATTGCATAATGATTTATCTTGCATAATATAATTTTAGATAAATAATTAGTTTTACGAATTATGAACGTTAGAACATATACAAAGATACTGGCGATCCGCCCCGGCTTTGCTCGGGTGCAGTGTATTATCTCCTCATCCTCTTGAATCAATCTATCTAGTAAAAAAACCCCATCAAGATCCGTTGCGTAGTTTTAAAGATCTAAGCATATATAGGGACAGACAGACAGCGGGACGACTTTGTTTTATACTATGTAGTGACAAATAAAAATAGGGGTTGATCATAGAGGGGTTAAAATTAAGAGTAATATGACATATTTTATTGCATGTCATGACGAAATAAAAAAAATCTTGCCAAAAAAATTAAACTTTATAATTAACAAATTTAAAATAGGGGTTGATAGTAGAGGGATGAAAAATTAAGAGTCATATGAAATTTTTTATTCTTAGTCATGACAAAATAAAAAAAGTCTTACCAAAAACTTAAAGTTTTTAATTATCAAATAAAAAATAGGGGAAAATCTAAGAGCGGTGCAAATTTAGGGTTGTATTTATTTATTTATACTTTATGCACACAAAATATGTGCAGAGGCGGACTTAATGCCATCAGCATTATCTACCAGTCAACCTTTGGGTGGTCCAGAGAAGTAGGTGCATTGATTGTAAGAAATTAAAAAGAGATTATTGAAAAAAAACAAAACAAATTTATAAGAGATATAACATAAAATACTATACTGGGTATATTGGTATATGGTATATATTGCAATAATCATGTATATACAAAAAAATAAAGGTATTTAAATACAAAATACTTATATAAATAAATATATACATAAATAATATACATTACTTATATGATTAACGATCCTGTGAATCTGTCGACAAATTTTTGAGCAGGTATTCGCGAGTTTTTCTTTTAAATGCATAGAGACTCTTAGCCGACCTGATTTCGAGAGGCAGCGCATTCCACAGAAGAATAAATTTTGTTCTTTCCAACTCAGTCATGTGTAAACCAAGATTTTTTACATTCTTGCTGATGGGGATGGCAAGGTTGTTAAATAAAATAGGTGGAAGATTATCTAAATCCAATTTGACTATAGTACGAGAACTCCCAATGACGGTAGCCTGGCACTTTGATGGGTTGACTATTAATCCAAACCTATCAGACCACCGTTTAATAATGTCCAAGTCTCGGTTTATGTTCTGGATCACTTGTGGGAGGCTCTCACATGTTGCCTGAGCGTATAATTGTAAGTCATCGGCATAGAGATGATACGCACACCGAAGATCAAGAGTGATTAGATTTATGAAAATAGAGAATAAAAGAGGAGAGAGAATACCGCCTTGAGGGACGCCGGTTGCAATATTAAGCCAGCTTGATGACAGATCACCAATATTAACTAACTGTTGGCGCCCTCGAAGATAGGAAGAATTTTTTTATGCTGTATCATAAAAAATAAAAACAAAATTTTATCTAAAAAATAAAATTTAGGGGTGCACCATCCTTAACATTTAGGGGGAAAAAATAGATGTTTTCCGCAGACCTAACCGATATGCACACAAAATTTCAAATATTTCGAGCCATTTCGGAGGAGTTTAATTACAAACACCGTGACAAGAGACTTTATACAGGGTGGCTTTTCTAAAAGTCAATTTCATTCGCACAGGAGGTTCAGACTCGGTAGTATAATCGTTTATTGAAATAAAAACAAACTTTAAAAAAAAGCCATTTATTTATTTATTTATTTATTCTTTATTGAAAACACCTTACAAAGGGCGGACTTAATGCCTATTGGCATTCTCTAACAGTCAACCCGGGGCGTGAGGAGAAATCGTGGTAGGTGCAATAAATAAAATTGCATAATAAATTTATGTGTCTTAAATAATAATATATGCAATTATTTAATTAATTACACATCATATAACTCCAGAATATACAAGATATTATATAAAACTATTCTATTCCTTAAAAAAACAGAACTTGTTGACAATGCGGTAGTTATTCATAAGTGCGTCGTATACTTTTGAAACGAACTTGTGTGCGTGTTAGTTATGAATGATCGCGCGTAAAATAATGAGTTGCCCATAAATCACGCACTTTTTGAGATAATTTCAAATACATGTATTTAATTAATTACGAGTGATTTTAAATAGTTATCATGTTTTATATAACATTATTTATATCTATAATTTAATAAAAAAAATGGATACACTTACAAAAGCCTCCCTGTATATAGATTAGATTTATATAAATGATATTCAGATTGTATTTACCGCGTCACATTCGTCATACTTTCACTTCAATTTTCAACCTCAGGGTCTCAAGGGAGTGCGGGTGGGTAAAATAAACAAATTATAAACAACAACAACATTTATTATGAACCGGTACACATAAAACCATATAACAGTGTTGCAAATTACAAGACGGACAGACACATAAATAATACTTTAGGAGTATGACAATGTAAAGACAAAATACATACAAAACTGGCTTGCTTACATTCAAGTTGCTCACGCATGGAAAATAATGGGATTATTCCGTTGGAAACGAAAATAAAATATAAAAATTTATTTCACTTGCGCTAAAAATATTTTTATTAAACAGTATTATATCAAAAAATTCAATATAAGCGAAAGAAAGAATTTCCCGCCATTCGATAGCTTAAAAAAAGCATAAAATTATTTCAATATAAAACCTAAAAATTCTATCTAGACTAGAATGATATTGCTGTGATATAACGATTATATTCAAAACGGCTATAGTCACAGATAAATAATTGATAATTTAACGTATTAAGGCATAACTTATAAATTTGCAACGAAAGAAATTTATTTATTTACTCGTGAAAATCGGATTCTAATAAAATCAGCTTTAAAATGAATCGCACCATAATAACAATCACCATACACATAATAATATCTCGAGTTTAAGTTTTTCTTTGAATTTATTTAAATATTAATCCTAACATAATTGGAACATTTAAAATTATTATATGCATAACTTTTTATGCGGCACCAGAAACAATAAATGAGATACAATTGTTTCAAACTATTTTACATATTACGAACATTAAGATTCATTGCAAAAACAGCTTTTTGTTAAATCTCTAGAGCGTAGGTTTATTTTCAGTGTTATAAATTGTACATGACGTTTTAAAGTGCATTCAAAGAGAAATATATTTTAAAATACATAGTAAATAATCATGTATTGTATACAACATTCTCGACCGTCAAACGATCTATTTATTAAAAACTAAATGCTATATTGCTATAGACTAATAAATAAATGTGTATAAAGTGTAAAGTCGTTATTATAAAGTTATTGTCTCGTTGCGAATATCAGTTCTTTAGCGCTATCTACTGATATCAGGGTTTATATACAAATTTCGCGACTAGCCGAGCTCACGGCTTTGTCCGTGTGCGAACTATTCACTAATCGCCATCAGATGTATATTTACGAGGGGTTAGCGCATTCTCCATCTGAGTAAAGAGCCACATCAAAAGCTACATACAGCCAGAAGTACATAAATAGGTAATATCTATTTTTAGATATGCATTTCCAATCTTTATTATCAAAAAAACTATGCTGATAAAATATGGGATTTTATTAAACCAAATAAACCATAGTAAATATAGTAAATATCAATCTTAGAACTAAACAGAATGTAATGACGTCATATATGTTAAAATCCATCTGACTGTAGGTAAGATTACCAACCGTAATATACTATATGTATTGTGCTAAAACGTCATTAATTCACTTCCCTCATAAAACAATGTCTAACACCTCGAAGAGGTGTTAGACAACCATCCATGCTATTCTGATCCTTATCGCTTCGGAGATAAGTTTGAATATTGCATCACTGGCACTACAAATGGATCGTTTTAATAAGGCACTAAGAACACTACGCGGCAATAAAAGATTTCCTATTAACAAATTATATTTATAAAATCTCTTCTTAATTCTACACTTCATAGAAGTTTACATATCTTTATATACGACCAGTATCCACAGCGTTTCCCCCCCTCCCCACCCCGCCCCTCACCATCCCGTCCCCGCCCCCTTCCGAAAATGTAACCGAAGAGACTAAGCGTCTGTGGAAGATAGCGTACACTAGGCAATTGAAAGTAACACTCGCAAAGTCAAAACAGAACTAACTCATACAGCAAAGCCCGCATCGCGTTCCGACGCAAATAAATATCACAGCCTGCAAGAAACGTTCAAAACACCCGTCGACTTCCGATGGAAGCTGATTGAGGGCATCAGCTTTACGAAGCTATCCAGAACGGTCAAAAGCCATCGACAATTCTCCAAGATAGAATTCTGCTATTCAGTCCACAGCCGTCGCTCGTCATGAGGTCGCTCTGTAATCGGAGATCACTGGAGCCGGTCTACCCTCACGACCCCTGGACGGTGTAAGCCACGTCCCGCAGTAGGCTCCTGCTGAAGTCGTACGTGGCGAATGAGACGCCCACCGCCACCGGGCCCTTGACCCAGTTCATGCTGAGCCCCTTGAAGAAGCCCCGCCAACCCTCCACCCTAAGGGAAGAACGGGGGTGACTTATAACAGCCGATTCGTTTCCAAACATCCACTCACTATGTAACCGATTGCATCGCAAACTTGACTAGTGTTGAGCTTGTCGCAGTACCCTAATATATTAACCATCGCGCTCGAGAATACGCCGGAATACAGACGTCCTTATCGCACGAGTCAGGCTCAAAGCAGCTGAAATGTTAGTGGATTGTGAAAATATTTCTACAACATGCCGCGCGAAGACTGAGATAGAGTTCAAGCTAAAAGGTTTGGAAATTTGGAAGAAGCCTGTGGGCGCTGGAAAGAGGAGCTGGGTTAGGATGGAGTGGCTAATGGAAGAAATCGAGAGCAACTTGGGTTAAGGTTGGGGGGAACTAGGAGAAAGAAAGAGCAGAAGTGATCGCGGAGGTGGAACGAGAGGCTGGGTTGTGATGCTAAATAACAATGTAGAAGGAAGACGTTAAGATTTTCGTCGCTGTGGCTATCAGCCGTTTAGCTCAGTGGCTAGAGCGTCAGGCCGCGAATGCCGAAGACGTGGGTTCGATTCCCGCAGCGGCGACAACCTTTTCGTACTTTTCTACATGTTTTAATAGTAAAAGAGAGTGAAAGCTAGGTCAACGTTGGGAGGAACTGAGGCAGAATTCGAGCGATAACCTTACCTGTAGATGTGAGCCAAGGTCTGCATCGTGCTGGGGCACGGGTAGGAGTTGTCCGCCCGCCGACGGGCGGTCTGCATCCGTCTGCGCACGATATCCAGGGGGTAGGAGGCGGTCTGGGCGAGGGCGCCGGCCATGCCGCCCAGCGCCACGTTCGTCATACCAGCGGCGGGACGCCCGCTATACTCTGGGACCCGATTGCCAACGGTTGAGAATCAATTTTTTTCCTTTTACGTGATAATTTGCCAAGCGAACAGACGGTTCACCTGATGTTAAGTGAATACCGCCGTCCGTGGACATCTGCTACACCCGAGGGTTACAGATGCGTTGGCAACCTTTTGAAAATTGGGCTCCGGCCACCTCACTTACCAGACGAAACGCGAAAGTGTTATACTTCCACTTGACGCCGGTCTTCTGTGAGGTCGTGGTACTTACCCGGACGAGCCTGCCCACTCGTGCAACAGCCGAGGCTGCTGCGTGGCCCTACCACAGTTAAAATTCATTCGAATTGAAATGCCTTTATCAATATCGAAGCATTAAACTTACTTATTGGATTGTCAAAACGCTACCACAGAAAAGAAAAACCGCTTACCGGAGAAGAACCGGCGAAATAGACTCAGCGGAACATTTTTTTTTACCATTACTGGATACAAGAAACAAGTTTACAATGTAAAAAGGCCACTTGAAAGAGCTTGGTCTCGGGTCTTGGAAGAAATCAATTCTTTTCGAGGTTGTGTTATAATTTATATAATCACTAATATTATAACAATATAACGAATAACCTTCTAGAATCTACTGGTCGTAATGGGAAAAATCTAGAAAGTCCCGTCCTACTTAATTAGAAAGTCTGTCTTTAGAAATTCTAAGTATCTTCCACATGAAAATCATTAGACTACTTTTTCTAGTTACAGGTTTGATTAGATAGAAAAGGGAAAAGGGAAGGGTCTTTTACAGAAGAACAGACGAAGCGTGTTAATTAATATGATTATTGCTTTAATATAGTGACGAGATATGCAAATAATTCGATACTAGAAAAAAAAAAACAGCTAATGAAAGTAAATATCATTGCATTGCTAATATAATTAAAAATAAATTAAACTGAGCGTGAACTTGACCACCGTATGGAGAGACGCCATGAATACGCGTAATTGTTTAGGATTAACTTGCTATTATTTATTAAATACGAGTTTATTACAAATGTGATTGGCTTAAAAGAGTAAGAAGACCGGCATCCTTCGGTATATTTCACATACATTGTAAAACTATATGCTTAGAACGGAATATTGAAAAAACAAGCAATAGCCAAGTGGAATAAAAATTTTTATATGTTAGAAAGATTTAGTAATCCTAATGACTTTGCTAGTTCAAATTTATTTCAAAATTTCTTTATTAATTCGAAAGCCCCATCTATGCTGCTGGGCAAGGGCCTCTGCGCAGACGGTATTAGGGCATTGTCCACCATGCCCATAGACCCCACTGCCGATTGGTGGGCTTACTTCGAAAACATGCAGGTTTTCTCACGATGTGTTCCTTCACTGTTCAGCGCGTGATAAGTCAGCACTTAAAATTAACAAATTTCATCGGTGCCGGCACCGGGGATCGAACTCAGGTTGCACGAGCTATCACGGCTTTAACGATAATTGAATAACATTCATTATAAAGTTAACATCCGGTTTAAAACACGAGAAATGACAATCGATCAATTGACTAGAAAAACTTTTGCGTGAATCCAATAAAATTACTATTGACGTCAAACGTGAATTATGTTCAATGACAGCCATTTTTAACTTCAACAGTGATGCTGATTATTATTTCTTGTCTATTAATACACAGAATATCGTATCGATTATTATCAATGCATATGAAAAAAAAAAAGACTACATTTTTTTATTGAAACATCTAAATGTGTTAATTGTGGACTAAAAATGTTGTTCCTTTTCTTTTGGTAGAAATCGGTGCATCAATTAAATCAGAAAATGAAAATCTTTCGCGTTCCTCACTCACTGGTGACACACTCCTCAGGTGTCGCAGTCAATGGCCGATGTAATGGCCTACCACGTTTCTACTTTGGTAGCACCACGTGGCAGCTTCGTCCGGGTGAGTACCACGACCTCACAGAGGATCGGCGTAAAGTAGAAGTGTTACACTTCTGCGTTTCGTGTGCTGAGCGAGGCAACCGGGGTCAACTTCATCAAAAGGTGGCAATGCATCTGAGATCCTGTGGGAGTTGCAAATGTCCTTGGCGGCGGATATTACTTGACATCAGGTGTCGCCAGCTCGCTTGCTAGCTTCTCAGAAGAAAAAAAATCAGGTGAACCGCCTTCTAGCTGGCCAAATATTTACATAAAACAGATCCACATTTTTTTTTATGGAGAAAATAGGCAAAGAAGCAGGAGGCTCACCTGAGGACACCCGAGGGCTCACAAATGCGTTGCCGGCCTTTCAGAAATGAGTATGCTCTCTTCTTCAAGATTCCCAGGTCGTATTATATTATATATATAGTCCCATTTCAGCGACTTTCTACTCACCCGAATACCATCTCTTCAGAGTGTCGTAAGTGAAGAAAGAGACGCCCGCGTAAGGGATGACGCCCATTATTGTAGCTGGATAGCCCCTGTTGGTAAAAAAGGCGAAAGTAAACTTTCCAATAAAGTTTTTTGTCTAACGTAAAAACATTTATGTTTTATACGTAAAATTTTTATTAACACTGCTTCTGAGACTTTTGGGGCGGAATTTACAAATGATTCGTTTTTGATTGGTACTAAAGATGTTAAAGGGACCTGGAAAAAGATCAAGAAATTTTTCTTTTTCTTTTTCCTTTTTACTCAAAACCACTGCCGATACTGCATATACATTATCCCGTGTTGTACGTAAGTTTTACACATATAAAGCAAAAGTTGTAAACACCCAGATCGTACCAAGTTGTAAACACACAGAGTCACATTTAACCTCTCTCTAACCTAAGCTATAAGCTCCCCATGGGGTTCTGGGTTGGATTCCCACACGGGACAAGTATTTTTGCAGCCCAGTGATAATTCATTGTTCAGGATCTGGGCATTGGTCCACAGAACCCGCCAAAACCATTGAACACATAATTAGCATGTTGTGTCGACCAACTAAGCGGACAGGGCTAACCTACGGGCAGGACGATTGGGACAACACACCTGTGTTCCACGACCAGAGACTCATTCGTCATCATCATTTCTGCCTGTTTGAGTCCACTGCTGAACATGGGCCTCCGCCGCAGATTGCCACGAAGCACGATTCTAGATTATTGGACGACAAAGAAACATAAATTGGCGCTCGTACGTACCTGTACAGAGTCCTGATGCCCTCCTCCCTGGCAACCTTTATGAAGACCACCCTCAGGGAGCCGTACTCGCTCTTCGGCGAGACCGCCATACGGGCCCTGGCTAAGTCCAGGGGATAGGTGGCGCTCTGTGACGTCACTCCGGCGAGGGAGCCTACAATGAGCAGCCGGACGGGGTGCTCCCTGGGCAAGTATTCGCACGTCAGCAAGGTCGGGGAAGAGAGTAAAGCGGCAATACGCCGACGCAATAAAGAAAGACATGACAGTCTCGCAAATTAAAAAATTACGTATTCCCCGAGAGTTCCATTTTCAAATTCCTTAACAGCCTTTTCATTAAAATTCGTTGCATAGTTTACAAGTCAAAAGTTAGTTAGTTACGAAAAACAAAACCGAATTCAAATATCTCGCTCTGTATTCATTTTATAATTGCCTTCAAGAGTTCCCCACGTATCACCGGAGCCAAAGATCCAATACCAATGAAATGAATGTGGGCCCACGTGGGGAGCGCCAGCTTTCAAATAATAAAAGAAACATCAAAATTGGTCCGCTCCGTCGAAAGTTCTGAGGTAACAAACATAAAAAAAATACAGTCATACAGTCGAATCGAAAACCTCCTCCTTTTTAGAAGTCGGTTGATCGTACAAACATAGCGACTTTGTTTTATACCGCGTAAAGATGAGACGATGAGGGAGGTCGTAGCGAAGAAGTGGGAGAGACATGGTCTGAGGGGAGGGGGACTTACTGAGCGGCACGAGGGTTGTCGACTCCGAACAGCTTCTTCCACTGCTCGTGCGCCGCGAACTGAATCGCCGCGTACGGGACGATCCGGGCCATCGTCGCGCTGTTCCCTCGCCATAGAGCCATCAGACCCTCGTTCTTCGCGCTGTTCGCCAGGAACTGGAGCGCGGCGCGCGTCGAGTACGGAATGTCCCTGGGGGTGCGTCGCTCCTCATACAGCTGCCATACAACCGCGGCAAGAACCCCGGAATGGAGTGTGACTAGGGAATGTCCCTGGGGGCGCGTCGCTTCTCATGCTGCTGCCATACAACCGCCGCAAGAGGGGCCTCGGAAAGACGTTGGACTAATCGAAGATTAATCGATGACCATGCCTAGTGTAAAAGTGCCTCTTACGGCGGAGTGTGGATTCGATCCTCACTACTAGAATAATATCGTGTGATATTATTCCAGTCTATACTAGATAATTGATTTGATATTGATAATCCTATTATTATCATAGCGTTTTTCTTGTGTCTGGGTGTTTTTTATAAATACCAGTTCGTCTGCGCAAGATTAAAGTACGGTAGTTCGAGTAGCTTATTTTTTTCTCCAAGGTCTTATCTATCTTTATACTAAAATTCACCAAAACATTACATTTTAAACCCCAAGCCAAGTCAAAATCAAGTACAATCGGTGCAAATTTTCATTTAAAACCTTTAGTAACTACTCAACATCAAATTTAGAAACTACAATTGAAAACACTATTTGACTATCAAACATTTTTCTGTGTACCCACTACCAACACGGCGAGCGATAGCGGTATGCAGTAACATTGTGCCATCTATGCCGTTTGCCAACAAAGGTAAAACGCGAAAGATTTTTTTTGTCTTTTATCTTTATGGGGTTATTATCTACATGGCGACGCCAACCCCATCGTAACTTATACAAGTCACAAACTACAAATAATCCTTAAAGTTGTAGATTATATAAAACGGAAATTACTGTTTGTTGACTTGAAGAAGGCCACAATATTTCACAATTGTTTCACTTTAAGATTTGCCAAAATATTAAATAGAAAACTGACATCCAATAAATTTACATTAAAATCTTTAAACAGCAAATCCCTTATTTCTGTTCCTCTAACAATCGATAGCATATGATGCATTATTAATCGTTTTATATTGTGTTCTGATGTAATTATATTCACTTTTTTATAACATTCTGTTACGAGTTGAGGGTAGATTACTTGAGACACGGAATTCGTCCTAGTTCAAATGTCAATCCACCATAATTTAATTATTTATTTTTGTTACACCAACAAGATGAACACTAGATTTAGACAATTTATACGTAATATGCTAATATCGGGCTTGGTAAATGCCATCTCAATTATAGGTGCAAACCACAATGCTTTAAATTTAACAACACAAAAACTTAAAACTTAAAACTATTTGTGAGAGAAAAAACACTATATTAAAAACATAAAAACTCAGCGAATGGTGACTAAATGAAGTTTGCAGCATCAATATTAACAAAAATGAAGTAAATCCAAAAAAGTATTAAAAATTAAAAAAAAATCAAGAGAAGAAAAAATTAACGTTAAACATAACCAGACAAAAAATTAAATCAATTAAGGGCTTCATGTACATATTTTTTTAATTTTAAATATTTGTTTGAGAAAATGTCAATATCAAGCGCGTCATTACTGGTTCTTCCAACATTTATTTTTTTATCTTCCAACATGAGTTTTTTTATGGGACTCGTTAAGACTAAAATTATGTAATGCGTTATATGTGGTCATTAATCTGTTAAGAGGTGAATGTAAACCCAAGTTTGTTCGCGCTGCCTTAGTGGAGAATGGTTTAAACTTTTTATGTCTAGGAAGTCTTGAAGGAACAGAGATACTTAATTGCATTAAATTGCATAATCTATCTATTATTGTGTTTCTATGTTTCCATGTCTTTTTGTATTGTATATTGTTCATTATGGTGAGGAATAAATGATTGTTCTTATTATTATTTTAAAGCGGGAAAGATCGTTCATGCGAAATCGACACTCACGAAGTCTGGAACCTGATCTTGGCTCTGTCCAGGGGCGCTATCACTGTCTTGGCGACGGCACCGGCCGCGGCTCCGGCGGCCAGTGACGTCACGAGTACCGTCGCCCCGCTCAGCTGGCGCGCTGCATTAACCGCATGAAAGACGCGCGGTGCGTTTAAGAGACCAAAAGGATTGTTCATACTATATACAGCGTTATGTCGCATGAAGCAAGAAACACGTTGAAAGTAAAAAGGCATAATATGGCAAGTTTTACATAAGAAATCAAGAAAACAAATGGATATAAAACTCTTTGATTTAATCGTATGATTTAATATAACTAAATAAATAGATTTGTAAACGTTTACAGATATAGACAAACAAACTTTGCCAATTATTTAAGCATCATCCGAGAAGTACTCCTTTTATGACTTTAACTAGAAAACAACAACACAATGTTCATGATTCTCTACTAAAATTTAAATTGCATTACTCCAAAAGTAGAAAGATAAAAGGCTTACCGTATAAACTGAAAATTTTAAATAGGATTTCAGATTTTTTTATCAAGGCCTACCTTCTAACGTTGTTACCGAGATTTTTAAAGATTTTAACCATACAAGAAAAGAGACTATAGACAATCCAATTATGCATTTATTTCCAATATCTGTGACAGACCAGATGATTCTTGTACAAAACTTATCCACTGAATCAGTGTATTTCTGGACATGAATCAACTTGCTAGCGGGATTGGATGGAAGTTTTGGTGTTGGGGCCTTGTGGGCTCTTACTTTTGCCGTGGGTCGACCTCTCCTCCAGGAACGCACCCCGCGCCTCACCCACGGCGATCGCACCGCCACCCATGCTTCAGGAGTGGCAGACAAATCGCATGCCTCGACGAAACCGCGTCTGCAAGAAAGCGGACTTTGTTAAGCGATTATAATACAAACGGTGTACTTGCTATAAGAGTCTATACGGACGTGTTAAATTAATAATAAATGTTGTATTTTCATTAGTACAAGAAATCGTTGCCGTATACTTAATTGTATCCGTCAGATAATTTAAGAGTTGTTTGAGTGAGTTATCCTAGTAACCGGCTTACATTTGACACTCAGATGGTCATGTCGGGTACATGACTATTTTACTACCATATATATTAAGATAATATGCATCTAAATCCATCGATATGTGTAATTTGAAAATATTGACTTAATGCTCATCAAACCATAGCCAACTTGAATCAATGGAACTAATGAAAATATATCGTACTAGCTGCTGCCCGCGACAACGTCTGCGTAGAATAGGCTGAAGGCGTAACATTCAGACAGAAAGACAGATACACATAAAAATATGTATATAAATTATAGCCTATGTTTTATTCTGATGAATAAGCTATATCATTGTAAAGTTTCATTAAAATCTTTTCAGTAGTATTCAGCGTGAGAGTAACAAACATCCATCCATACATACAAACTTTCGCCTTTATAAATAATAGTAAGGAAATAAGGATTTCTTACAGGCAAATGCTAACTACAGCTTCTACAAAATGCCAGCCTCTTTAGGAAAGGAGGCCTCTCGCGGATTAATTTTAATAAGAAAAAATTTAAAGTGTCAGTGGCTAAAGCGTCAGGGCGCGAAACCCGAAGACGTGTGTTCGATTCCCACAGCGGTTAAAAACTTTTCGTAATTTTTCTAAAAAATACCATCCATATCTCTAGTATATTCATGCGATGTCACTCTACCCACCCCGTTTCCCCAAAACGGGCGAAATCTTGTATACATAATGAGAAGCGAACGCTATCTCCGATACCTAGTATGAAGTTGTCATGATAAGAGCCACTGTTGGCTGATAAATAAGCTATTACATAGGGCATATCAATACGTGAACGATACCTTTTATTACGAACTTGTGGAACCAACTTAGGGCTGCCAACATTTCGGGTTACTATATACATTTTGTTTTAAATAAGCTACAAAAATTATTATATAGTACACATAAAAGTGTAACGGATACACGAAGATTTTCTTATGTACTTACTATCTTTATTTGTAAAAAGTACATTGCGAGATTCGACCTGCGTCTTCTGGTTTCGACGCTTTACCAACCAAGCTGAGCGGCCGACGTTACAAATACTCTGTTATTTTCAAACTGTTGTATGATGTAAAAGATTTACATCATACAACTTAAAAATAGCAGAAGACAACGTAGCGCCAAGAATTATTGAAAATTAAATGCAATAGAACGTAGACAGATGTCAAGGTTTTAATTTAAAAACAAACCCAATTGTCCTTACTAATATTATAATGGCGAAAGTTTGTATGTATGGATGGATCTTTGTTACTCTTTCACGCAAATACTACTGAATGGATTATAATGAAACTTTACAATAATATAGCTTATACATCAGAATGAGACATAGGCTATAATTTATATACATATTTTTATGTGTATCTGTGTTTCTGTCTGAATGTTACGCCTTTAGCTTATTCTACGCAGACGTAGTCGCGGACAGCACTGTGTTGCAATGTTTACTACGTAATTGACGAACTTTAACATTGAATTTAGTATGTTATTCGAATAAACTATTTTTGATGCATGGCTAGCCTGGACCGCTTTTTTTATCTCAAATTCAAAATAAAACACTACATTTTTGCGTCCGTATATTGCAATACCGTCTTGCCGTGCATCTCTTGTCTTAGTACCATAATTTGGCGTCTTGGGGATTTCCACATATTATTAGTTATACCGACTATTCATTATTAGTTATACCGCCGTGTTTTTGAAGATCGTATGTAATATTTTGTGCCAGTGTTAGAGAAGTTATAGTTATATGGTTCGAACAACAACTTCTAGAAGCGGGCCGTCAGAGCATATGCAACCCTTCTGATGCTGTAGGTTATCCGTCACCACGCTCAAAAAGTTTAACTTGAACTAATATCAGGGAAAAAAAATACTGCATAAATAACAAAAAAATAAATAATTATAATTGCAAAGCTGATGAAAAATCCTATGCAATAGCTTTACCGCGGCATTCCCCGAGTGCCAGAGTTTCTTTTAGGTTGTTTCCCTCAGAACTTTTTACTGAGTGAACAGATCTCGCAAAAGACAAATTAAAATCAATCCATACTTCCGTAATAATATTATAAATGCGAAAGTAACTCTGTCTGTCTGTCTCGCTTTCACACCGAAACCACGGAACCGATTTAAATAAAATTTGGTACACAGATAGTCTAGAGCCTGAGAAAGGATATAGGCTATTTTTTAATTGAAAAAAGGATTCTTAAAGGGGAAAGATATTTATTTAAGTGCTTCAACGCGAGTGAAACCGCGGGCGAAAAACTAGTATAATATATACATCAACGTGATATACGGTGTTTATACATGTATAATATGTATTTATTTACAAAGGAAAAAATTATGTATGTTTATCAGTTTTCTAGTACCCATAGTACAAGCGTTGCCTAGTTTGGGACTAGAGAACGTAATGTCAAAATTTGTCTTAAAATATTTATTATTTATTATTATTATATACAATTTCGTCTGACTTATACGTTCCTTAACCAACTGGGCGATTGGTAAGACGTTCTGCGTACGCCTGTAATGTAAAAACATGGCGCCGAAGGTAAGGCAGAATTTTCAAAGTCAAATGTTCGAAACAGCTTTCTTGCTCCTTTTCTCACAACATACTGATCCCATTTTGGTGTGAACAGATGCAACATCAACAAACATGTCGTGAGTTCGATTCTGTCACTGGACTGGTTACAGCCTGCGTACACTTAGAATACGTATATTTAGAACTGAAGCTATTTTTGTCCTTCTATTTGCTTATAGTAACTGACCCCATACTATAGTATTATCAGTACATAGTATAAAACAATGCCATCACGCTGTCTGCCCCAATGACTGTATGCTTATATCTTTAAAACAACACAACTGATTTGATGCGGTTCTTTTACTACATAGAGTAAATCAAGAGGAAGGTTTATATGTATAATACATTGCACCCATGTGAAGCAGAGGCCTGTATCATTTGAATACGTCGCACTTCCCCACCTTTGCACAGATCCTCACTCCATTTAGCGAAGGGTTGCCTATACTATACGAGGCTGGCTCTCGGTTTATGTTGAAACAAGCCTATTTTTATTAACGAAAAACACAACCGTCTTCAAATATCTCCCTCCATATTCATTATATAATTGATTTTTAGAAGTTCTCAAAGTATCTCTGGAGCCCAAGATCCAATACCAATGAAATGAATATGGGACCACATGGGAAGCACCAGCTTTCAAATAAAAAAAAAATCGTCAAAATTGGTCAAATTTTACACAAGGATTTGAAACAAGGCAGTGTGTTCGTCTGGATGAATGCTATTAAGAGTTTGAATTTGAAACATTGGTAATTTTAAATATGATATTCTAGTATTACCAGACATTTTTTCATTAAAAATAAAGATAATTGTTGCTAATTCTGCTAATGTGGCAGCGATAAATGGCATATTTATTTGGTATTTGCTTGATGTAAATTACGAATATAATACAAATATATACAAATTCATGTTATATGTTAACGAAGAATATTTTTCAGCTTATTTTTAATATATAAGCTAATACAATGGTATTTCTTTTTATTTACTCCTTATTTGATTCCTCAATATAACATTTAATACCACCTGCTTAGGTGTAAATAGGTCTAAATAATTGATTTTTTTTATTCTCCTTGTATATTACAAAAATAGTGAATTATTTTTTATTAACACTTTTCAAAAAAAGTTATTAAAAAGTGCTGAATTGCATGGACATGTAAAATTTCTACAAAGAAAAAGTTTAAACATTCCCCAAAAACAATATATTGTACTTTTGGAACATATAATTTGACCTTTATACTTGTCAATTATTAATTTATGTTTTTGTGTTACCTATTTATATACCATAAATATATTCAGTGTGCTTTGGATTACAACATTTTTTGCTAAAAAAATATTGATACACGATATTTTTATTACTGATGGCCATAAACCACACGTATAGTTTATTATTTGCGTAAGTAACCTATAATTTTCAAATTAGTGATGTACAAACAAGTTTACCGTTTGAACGTAGTGCGATAAGACTTATGAGTAAATAAAAATGAACTGAAATAATTAAACTATGAGTTACGAGGCGTCCCCGAAATGTGTCAAAAATTGTACCATTATTATCTCTGCTTCGATGTTGTTATTAAATCTACGCACTAAACTATGTAGTCCAAAGTCTAGGCCGCAACCTTGGAACCCTCTTGGGCTCTGTACTACTACAATAGTCTAAATCTAAATTTAGACGATCCTAGAGTACGGTAAGCAAAATATTATTGTGGTACTTACTTAGAAATCCAGAGATGTATTTACTGCACAAACTTTAGACGCAGAACTTTCAATTTCTAACAAAAAGTAGCACTTTAATAATCTTTATTTATTACACTAGCACTTTGCCCGGGTCCCGCTGTCGTAATATTTAAAATCTATTGTTTACGTGCCTAATTTTTAAAGTAAAGTCGTAAACATCTAACTACGAATAGAGTAAATGACAAACTGAATGGAGAACAGATTAAATAGTAAATTTATGTAAAATTTTGACAGCTCGTATACAGCTGTTTTTAGTTTGCCATAATTATTTCTGCACGATCTACATAAAACAAATTATGAACATTAAATGCTTAAAACGAAATTTGATTACTTGCAAATAATTATTTAATGGTTTAATTCATGAATAACCAAGATGCAATCTCCGCAAGGTTATATTATAATAACATAAGATCGTAGTTCTTTCTAGCATTCATGTTTCAAATAATTAAGGAAATATTTCGGCACTGAACAAATCCCTTATTTTATAAAACATGATTATATAATGACATAACATATTATAAAATGTGTTAGTTTGACGGTCAATCTCTATATTGCTTAATAGTTAGGACTGTGATATGGTTACTAATTTAAAAGATAAGTGTAGTTTAAAATTTTTAATAAGGTAAATAAGTATTAGCATTCAATTAAAAAAATAGTAGTGATTACAATTCTATCTCTTTAATTATCACACGCCAGTCATGAATGTTGAATTATACATTTTAAATTTGCCACTACGGTTGCGTTTTTATTAACCTACAATTCTCATGTTGTGACAATCCTACAAACTTTCGCGAAATACATTATTGCCGCATTACAAAAATGTTACCAAATTAATAACTTATAGTTTAGAATTTATTCCATTAACATTATTAAAGCATAGCAACGGTGTGATAACATTTCAATATCATTCGCTCAACTCGAGGTCCGAATCGCTGTCTTGGCGGCCCCGTATTGTCTTCTTGCTCTGCACTGTGAGGGCGCGTTGTTTGCGCGCCTCTGCGGGCGGCACCAGTAGGTCACCGGAGTACTCTATAACTTCCGCCCTGGCATCAGAGACAATTACACATATGTACTAAAGGACCACGAAATTAATGAACAAGTCATTATATGATGAAAACAGTGCTATACATATTATATTGCAAATTCTATGAGGTTGTCTCTTCAGCTAACACTATAAGGTGACCATGTGCATAAGTTCCCCCGCCCACCATTCTGTGTAATGTCCCGCAGTAAGTAGAACTTATTGCATGTCTATTCAAAGTCAAAATTTCTGTATTCAATATTGGCTTATTTTAAGCTCTTATTGAACGTCAAAAACTACCACCTGCTCATTAAACTGGTCAGAAATCTGCGACTTTATCTTGTCTCTATTGCGCATATAGAACAAAATACTAGAAAAGCAATTAATAATACAGGAAGTCATGTGTTGCTCCTGTATTAATAATGAAGGTTGTGTTGAAAATTTAAAAATGGTTCTGCGATTTAGTCACATTTATCATAAAATTATTTTTATTGGTTTTTAAGAGATTTACAGTAAGAAAAATTATTAACCATTACAATAGAAATACAAAAGATTTTTTTTTCCCTACTATGGCTCCACTGATACGTCAGTGATTTTGCCAACAACTTGGTACTTGGAGATCGATTAGGCTAAGGACATGACAATGATAACCTACTGTATTAAACCACTTTCAGTTGCATACCTGTAAAGAGAGGAACAAAACACCTTATTAGTAATTAGTAATATGGTCATTAGTCATGGGACATCAGCCATACATAAATAAAGAGAAAGAAAAAGGAACAAAAAAAGGAACAGGAACAAAAAAAGGCGAAAAACAAAAATCTTATAAACCAGCTTAAAGCCGTATATTGTTAATTTCTATGAATCTAACTAGAGTTTTAATGAATGGGGCATGGGCAATGAGCAATGGGCAACAAGAGTTAACAAACAACTAACATTCACAGGACGTACAATAGTGGGTGGGAGTAGATCATATAGAGGGACTCATAACATAGGACAACTAAATTCGAACAACGATAAACAACGATAAACAACGATAAACAACGATAATTCGAACGAGAGATGTCACCATTGCTTTTTTTAAAAATTTAAATTGTTTATAGTGCTAATTTTTGCACTTAAGATTGAACATTAAAATATGTAGAAAAAGTGCGAAAAGATTGTCGCCGCTGTGGGTTCGATTCCCACAGCGGCGAATTATCGTTGTAAAGCGATATTCGAAATTGTTTGTATGCTGGAAAGGATATAACAATAGATGGCGCCAAGTATTGCTTCAAATGCTAAGAAAACAATGTAGAGGAATGCGTTAAGATTTTCGTCGGTGTGGTCATCAACCGTTTAGCTCAGTGGCTAGAGCGTCAGGCCGCGAATGCCGAAGACGTGGGTTCGATTCCCACAGCGGCGACAATCTTTTCGCACTTTTTCTACATATTTTAAAGCTTCAAGATATCTTGTAAGCAACTATATGAATCAGAGAAAATTATAGATCTATTTAGTTGATGAGATTCAATATAAGATACAGCTTCTAAAATAGCTATTGCCTCTCCACTAAAAAACAGAACATTGAGGAGGGCATTTAAAGTTCAATATAATTTTGTAACTAGGTAACCAGACAGCAGCACCCACATCTTCACCATCAATCAACTTTGAGGCATCAGTGTAAAATGTCATCCAGCCATTAAACTCAGTTTCAAGAATTCTATTAAATTGGATATGGACATTGGGTGAGTTCTTATCTATACCCATCGATAGAATAACCCTAAAGCCTATAAACTAGCGCCTCATAATCTACCATAAAAATTGGGTATTTTACAATTTTGAAAACTGGATTAGAGAGGTTCTTTATGTTTCGGTATGACTTAATAAGCAGAGGCAAGTCCTTATGTTTCCAGTAAACAGAAGTAGTTGCTATCTGGGACAAGGAATGTAAGATTTTTAAAAGGGGATGATGGCTGTATTGAACTATATTGCATAAAAATCTATCAGCAAGATATTGTCTACGTAGATGAAGGGGAGGTTCTAGACATTCAACTTGTAACGCCAAATTCGGGGAGGATTTCATGGCACCAGTGATGATGCGCAGACATTTATATTGAATTTTCTGAAGTTTGTTTAGTGCATTCTTATTGCAAGGTTCTAACAAAAAAGAACCATAATCGAAATGTGATCTGACAATGGCATTATATAATAATTTATGATTATAAGGATGAGATCCCCAATGGACACCTGATAAAGATCTCAAAATATTTACACCTTTTTTACACTTATTACTAACATAGTTGAGATGATGTACGCCAGACAATTTAGAATCTAATATAACGCCTAAAAATTTTACTTGGTCTAGTACAGCTACAGGATGTCTATCAATAAACAAATTAATGCTTGGAACATGGCGCTTTCTCGTGAATACCACCGCATTGCATTTAGAAACTGATAAAGATAAACCTTGATTGTCAAGCCAATCACTCAAATATGCTAATGCAGAGTTAATTTTACCAGCAGCATCATTTAATGAAGATCATACGGCGTACAGAACAATGTCATCAGCATATTGTAAAATTTTACAATAGGGTGAAACGGAGTGGTCTAGATCATAAGTGTACACATAATACAATAGAGGACTGAGTACAGAGCCCTGGGGTAACCCCTTCCACACCAATCTAGATGTTTGAATTGATCCATTAGCACGGACAGAAATAGAACGACCACTATATAGATTAGATATAAAATTGACCAGTCTCTCAGGGATACTCAGTTGAAGCATTTTATGCCTGAGTATTGGAATCTGGACATTATCGTAGGCAGAAGTAACATCCAGAAAGCGCCGATAACATGCTGGCTATTACTGAAAGCCTGACGGATACTGGAGACAAAGATACTTAAACTATCCAGTGTACCCATACCCCTCCTGAAGCCAAATTGATAATTGGATAATATACCCCTATTCTCTAGAACCCACTCTAATCGGTTTTTAATTAAGTGTTCCATAATTTTACATAAGGTAGAAGACAGAGCTATAGGGCGATATGATGAGGCTTCTTCTGGATCTTTGCCTGGTTTAAGAATAGGTATGATAATTTGGGTTTTCCAGGAGTCAGGTATACTGCAGGATAAGAAAATAGTATTAATGATTTTAAGAAAGAAAAGGTGAGTAGATTTGCTTGACTTGATAATAAAAGAATAGGGAATTCCATCTATGCCTGGTGAAGAGTCACGAAGATGGTCCAGGGAACAAAGCAGTTCAGGATAGGAAAATTCATCATTCATTTTATCTGGATATATAAAAGAATGAGAATAATCCGTAGGAAGGGAGTCACGGAACGGAACATAAGGAGGAGATAATTTACTAATAAAGTTTGGTAACCAACTATCTGTGTGATGATAAGCAAGACATGAAAAATTATTTTCACAAGACCTGCGAAAAGATGTTATACGTTTCCACACCAAGGATGGAGAAGAACGTGGGGACAGAGATTCGCAAAACCTCTGCCAACCTAATTTTTTTTTTGCTAAGCAATCTTTTGGTTTGTGCACAAGCCTTACGATAAAGTAAATAATTTTCTATTGTTAGATTTGAAACATATTTGCTTTCAGCTTCGTTACGATACTGAACACTGATAGTACAATCCCTGTCCCACCAGGAGGGAGAGCGAAGGCGTTTAAGAGAAGTGTTTTTATTGGGGATGGCGAGGTCAGCTGAACTTAGTAGTGAAGTGACAAAATAATTGTAAATATCATGTAAATTAGAGTGGGATAAGGATGTATTGGGGGGAAGAGATGCAAGTTTTTGATCCATTAACTGTGAAAACTTGTTCCAGTCTGCTAAATGAAGAGTCTGTACTTCAACAGAGGGATGTGATTGACTGTTGGAGGAATAGCTTTATATAAATTTAATACTATGGGGAAGTGATCACTACCATAGGAGTTAGGCAGAACCATCCAATTAATTGAAGATGCCAGAATAGTTGAGGAAAGAGACAAATCAATAGCCGAGGGATTCTGTAATGGAGAAACTCTCCTTGTAGGTGACCCGTCATTTAATAAACAAAGATTTAAATTGTCCAGCATATCTATGATAAAGTGAGATGAAATGTCACAAGCGAGGGAGCCGCACAAAGTATGCTTACAATTAAAATCTCCCATCACTAAGAGAGGAGCAGGAAGAGAGAGGAAGAGAGGAAAGGATAGAGCTTAAGTTTGAAATGATGTTAGGATTGGGGTGGGGAATGTAAACAGAAACAAATGATATGTCATTAATTCTAGAGGCAACAATATGGAATTCTGGGGGATGAGAGGGAATATGGAGCTTGGTAAAGGGAATGGGTCTTTTTAATAAAAAGAGCACACCCAGCCCAACCATCATCCCTATCATCCCGCAGACAAGAGTAGCCTGAGAGCCTAAAAATGGAACGAGGCCTCAACCAAGTCTCTGCAATAGCGCAAACTACAGGGTTTTATTTGTTAGCTAAAAATATTAGATCAGTCTTTTTATGACGAACATTCCTACAGTTCCATTGAAGGATATTAAATGTTACGGTTTTTTTTAATTATGGTTTCTAAGAGCTGTTCTAATAAGGGCAAGACATTGTTCGGTAGTGAATCACTAAATTTTGATACCATGTTAATCAAAGAGCATGTGAGTAGCTCAATCAGATTATCGTTAGGAGTAGCATAAGGAGTAGGACTAAGTGTTCCAAGCGCACTGCCATTAGGTTGGGAGGATTTGGGAGTTCTAACAATTTCTTGATGAGCATGTTTATCATAAGATTGACTCTGAGGGGATCTAGGACGGGGTTGCTGAGGAAGAGATTTATTGTAGACAACAGATGGCGACCTATGAGAGGATGAAGAATGTTCATAAACCGGGGATTGTTGTGAAGGGAGAGGGCAGTAGGCATTAGAAGAAGAAGGGACATTACATGGGACCCAAGAAGGGACGGGTGAATTTTTGGGAGAGGAACAGATTACATCAGTAAAAGATAATTTGGAAATGGGAAAGCGGCGTGATGCTTCAGTATAACTAACATTCTCTTGGGACATTACATGTTTGATATCTTTCTGGCGCAAATGTTCTGGACAGATAGGCTCTGTGGCTTTATGATGGCCTCTTCACAGGAGACAAACAGGATCAGGTACTGTACAGGAGTCCCCAGGGTGTTGTTGAGCACACTTAAAACATCTAGGCTTAGATCGACATTGAGCACGGACATGGCCAAATCTGCAGCAGTTATGGCATTGTATGGTAGGGAGTTGGTATATGGAGACTGGGAGAGAAGCATGGAAACAATAAACTTTATGTGGGAGAGTTTGACCTAGGAAGGTCAACACGACTGTGGTGGATGGTTCCCAAGTTGGTCTAACATTATTGTTTTGCCGATTTTTCACATTTAACCTTCTAGCTCTTATGACAGGACCACAATTTGGAGGGCATTGTATCCCAGAGACCAGTTCTTCAAGGGACCACTCCAAGGGTATTTGGCGGACAACACCCATTCGAAACCAGGAACTTTGGGACCTCTGCATTGAAATTATTTTTTTGTAATATAGAATTCTCAATAAAGGAATTGGCTTCTACGTAATTTTCAAATTGAACAGAAATTTTATTTCGGCCTAATACCTTGATGTCATCACACACAATACCAGAAATCTTGTTTTTATGTAGTAGCTGTGCAAAATTAAGTAGTTTAATAGAGAGCCCTTCAGAAGGATGAGCTTCCATACGAGACACGTGGACAGTGAAGGGACCTTGATTAAATTCAGTATACCTAATTTTTTTGTCAGGCTCAAAACCAGGTCTAGTGTAAGTATCCTGAATTGAAGCAGCGGGAGTAACGTTTTTTTTGGATATACTAGCGATTTCTAAGTCCGCTGGTCTTTTATGAGGACGACTAGGGGTGATAAACTCAGTTAAACGCAGTTATAGGCGCCATGTCTATATCAGAGGATGTGTTTCCTCCTCCACCAGGGGGAGGATCATCATCTCCTGCATCACACATCCTTCTTGTTAAGCGATTACATATAAGACACTTACCAAATTAAATAAACCCACAACCACAAGAACCAACAACAATATGGATACACAACTGAAATAACTAAATCAAACTTCCAAGAAAAATATCACTAAAGCACGTGTCAACGTCCGAATCCTTCCGAGCTCGCCGACCAAGTCCTACAAAAGATTTGATATTTGATATTTCAAAATATTGGGTGACATTTGATTCAACCCCAAAGTCAACAGACTAAACTGCAGGCTACTAATTGTATTCAGTATAAGGACATTTCAGCCCACCTGGCGATCCTCCACTCGAGGACCTCTGTGGTAAAGTCGTCACAGTTCCCGAGGTCAGTGAAGCCGACTATGAAGTCTTTTGTTTTGTTCTGTTTCACCAGCGCTATGGTTGGCAGCACACGGATCTTGAGGCGACCTGGTGTGGAAGAGACCTTTAAAAATATACCATAACCTCAATTTTTAAGCGGTGATCGTTTAGCCTTGAAGGTGCTCATTTAATGACAAACGATGAGACTGGACTGGTTGAACTGTCAGCCTACACCATAAGGCTAGCCGACAAAGCAGTCGGCACAACTATCTGAATCATGTTGCCTTATGTCAACCCTCCTAGGGGACAAACACCCTGACCCGGAACAATTATCACTATGCCACACACTACTTGTCCCATGTGGAATCGAATTCACGTCCCCCGGCACCAAAGATTTGTTTAAAACAAGCAACAGAGAAGAACATGGAGAGGAAACAGGAGAATTGATTCGAAATCCCAACATGAATTTGCATCCAAGAGCCAACAATAGCAAAAACAAGGGAGAGTGGAGACAAACCCGTCAGGAACGGCGCCCTTTCCACGTCCAGCTTCACGAATCTGGTCTCCACGTGCTTCTTGGCCAGCGTCTTCAGGTGCATGTCCACGATGAGGCACCGAGGGGTGTCCGCCCGGTAGAAGTGGCACACCACATTGTCGCTTTTGTTGCACACAGTGAAGAACTCCTTCTCGCCATCGATTTCAGTGTACTCCCCGTGGCCCTGGTGGTTAGTTCAAGCTTGAGCACACTGTATAAGGCCCTGAGGAAGCAACAAGGACATGACATTTTATTTTTGGTTTTAAGTATTCTTTAAAATGTGAAGATCAAAGTGTTGCTACTTTTTTTCTTTCAGTTAACGCGTCCAGACGCTCTAGCCACTGAGCTAAACTGTCGACATCCTCGCCGCTCTAAATTCTGGACGTTTTAAAAATAAATAGTTATATTTTTCTTTTTTGCCTTTTCGAGTTTAGAACGATTAGATCATTATTGATGTTAAAAATTTAACATTAAGAGGTACATACATTAGCTATCCACTCTTGCTTCAATTTGGCGCGTTGCTTCATCTCTGCGATTCGCTGCTGCCTGATCGCTTCAAGATCGTTGCTGTCCAGGGTATCCAGCCTGGAGCAAAGACATAAGGTCAATTTCTAAAACCGTAATATTATGACAGCAAGGTATTTGTAATGTCAGTTAATATTGTAGTGTTAAATGGTGACTGAGGTTCATGGAGTGAGCTGTGATACCTCACCATTAATTTAATATGCCTAAGCAGCCTGAGTTCGATCCGCGATTCTGGCAACAATGAAGTTGTTGTAATGCTGTGGAAGAATCAATCAAGAAATACCAATTAATGAATTATACTCACCTCTCCAGCTCACTGTCAAGCTGCTTCTCCACAGTCTGTGCCACATGATGTAGTACTTGATCCATGCTTCTTGATTCAGTTAAAACTTAAAGGAAAAAACAACATTACCATTACTGCCAAATATCTGGTACAGAATGCACCCATAAGCATTGTTTCATAAGCATTAATTCTCATGTGTTACTTTTCAATTTTATGTGTCATAAGATCACAAACCAGCAGTTGGTTTACGCAATGGTCTTCGCTGTTGCACAAATGGGCAAGTCTGTCTGGGTACGTACCAGAACCCACAGAAGACCAGCAACATTGTAACATAAGTCCTGCATTTACGACAAAGCCAAAACGTCATACATCTATCAAAGCTTTTAACTTAAAACCGTGTGTAACACAAATATACATATAATGACAAACTTAAACACCAAAAGGGTACAAACTTAAACACTTAAATCATAAAATTGGAGAGACAACAGTTCTCATGGTAGCCTCATAATTGAGTGGGGAAAACACAAACATGTGGAAGTGTTATTATTGTTCAGCAGTTCATCTTGTGAGTGAGCTAGCCGGGGTCCACTATTGAAAGGTGGCAACACATTTGCAAGCCTACAGGTGTTGCAAATGTCAATGGGCGACGGTTATCACTTAACATCAGGTAAAATGTGAGCTCACTTGCCTCCTTCTCAGATAAAAAAAATGGTGTTAAATGGTTACCACCACCCATAGACATCTACAAACTTATTAAGAGGGTGAATACTCATTACCTTAGTCATAAGCCAAAATTTTAATGAAAAAATTATCCTTTTATACCAGTTAGTCCTCTTATGCACCATGGACAACCCCCAGTAGGGCCACCCCATTCAAACTAGAACTCAAGCTGTTGGCTTTCTTAAATTATGTTTCTAACATCTCAAATTTATAATAAATACTTTCTCTACTTATAATAGCATAAGATAGTGAAAAGTACAGTAGCTAAAGAAAATTACCTAAGCAGAACAAATTACATTCATGGACCTATTGCCATATTGAATATTTGGTGTTATTAACTTGATGTTTTTTTTTTATTCAATCATCCCTATTGGTATTGGTTAAATGAAACAATTTTAAGATTTTAGCAGTTTCGAACTTTAACTTTCTGACGCTATGAGGGTCATTTATGCTGGCACAATTTTAAAAGAAAGTGGAAGCATTATTGTTTTTAAGAAACTGGGTGATTTTTTTAATTTTATATTTATTTATAAAAAAATTCTTTCAGATTTCAGGTGGTACGTCTAAAGTTTAAAATAACACAGCAAATGTTAAAATTTAAAGTAACATGTTTTTGTTCCTTTTTTTACACATTACTATCACTTGAACATTATTATTTTATTTTAAAATATCGCACATAGTGTTACATATAATGGGTAATTGTTTCACATTAGAACCCAAACGTAGAATACAACAATAAAAGAGATGCGTAATTATTTGAAGCTTTAGCAAAAGTGCAAAACTTCGATGCGCAGAGTTAAAGAAACGCCATCCAATCTTCTTTGCGGTTGTTAAAGTGTAAAACATGTATGAAAGTTATTATTTTTTCCTAATACGGCTAAAATAAATGAAGTCGATGACCTCATCTACACGACGCACACATGTTCGACAATCTTTAAATAAATGACATAATTACCTGTATATCGTAATAAATTATAGCGAAACTTGTAACTACAATTGATTAAGTACGTTCCAGTTTAGTTTTTACAATTATTAGAAAACGAACAAATTAATAATATTTACTTTTTTCAAACCCTACCAATGTTTTCTTTAATTTGACTCTTTGACAGTTATAAAGAAAATTGCCAGTACAGTACCAGTCTACCAGTAATATTAAAGTCCCTAAAAATATAATCAACTCATCCCATTCCCCTATCCTGTATGTCCCATTCTTTATTTATATCTTTTTTTTTTTGTGTCCCATTATCTTGGAATCAAACCCACGACCCCCGGCACTAAAGTGACGGACTCCACGGGACATTTGGTTGAAAACAAAGAAGTACGAAATAAGTACGCATTTCGATATTTAAAGCTGAAGTGTGTCAAAAATTCTTGCCGTCCCTCTTTTGCTATTGCTTTAATTACGTGATCCTTTTTGTACCATTCGAATGAAACATGTAAATGTGTGCCTGTCATTCTTTTTGAAAATGAAACACTTTCGACTGAGTTTTTATGCATATGTAAAGTATAAATTATCATCGGTGGAGAGTTTATCTAAGAGTTTTTATGGAGCCGTTAATTTTCTCAATCGATTCATTGTTTATTTAAAATAGAATATAAGCAATGGAACTTACGACGCTGAAGCCAATCATCTGGCAGATCATCTAATTTATATAGATAATCGACAGAATTGAAGATTGAATTAATTGAACTTTCTCTTCTTGACATAATTATCTAATACTATGTAGGCATATATATGCACAAATATTTTTATTTTTATGTGTATATGTACTGTTAATATCTAATATATAAAATTCTCGTGTCACGGTGTTTACAATTGAAGTCCTCCGAAACGGCTCGACCGATTTTCGTGAAATTTTGTGTGCATATCGGCCAGGATGGAGAATCGGACAACATCTATTTTTCATCCCCCTAAATGTTAAGGGTGGTCGATTCCTAATTTTTTTTTCTACTCTACAATTGAGAGCCGTGATAGCTCAGTGTCCGGGCGCTCGCCTTTAATTCAATATACTCGAGCAACCTGAGTTCGATCCCCGGTGCCGGCACCAATGAAGTTTTTACTTTAAGTGCTGATTTGCCACGTGCTCCCCGGTGAAGGAAAACATTGTGAGGAACCTGCATATTTTCGAAATAATAACAAAAAAATTTTTCGAAGATATGTGAAGTCTGCCAATCCGCAGTGGACTATGCCCTGATACCCTCTGTATAGAGGAGGCCTTTGCCCAACAGTGGGACATGTATAGGCTGTTACTTTACTTTTACCCTACAATTAATTTATACGGTAAAAGACCGTTTGCGGGGTCAGCTCAGCTAGTACTATTTATATAAAAATTAGTATAGGTATATGTAATGTTTTATATAAAACCATATTTTTCACTACTTCTCATGTGGCTCTTTCGCACCTTCTTATTTTCTCTACTTTTTTTTTATGTGAAAAGTTGCCAAGCGAGCAGACGGTTCACCTGATGTTAAGTGAATACCGCCGCCCATAGACATCTGCTAAACCCAAGGATTGCAGATGCGTTGACTGACAACCTTTAGAAAATTGGGCTCTGGCCATCTCACTCACCAGACGAAACACTAAAGTATTATACTTCCACTTTATCCCGGTCTTCTGTGAGGTCGTGGTACTAACCCGGACGAGCCTACCTATTCGTGCAACAGCCGAGGCTGCTGCGTCCCCCTTCCACCTGATAAAATTACACTTATTTGTTGATCGACTTAACACCATTCAGTGTTCTCTCCTAATGGTGTTAAGTCCGCCATTGTAAGTTTTATGTGTAAAAAGTTTTTAAATAAATAATTGGTCAACGATTATCTCATCTAAACTAGTTGATGTTTTAGTATTATCATTTAAGATTATTTCTAATGCAATGTATCCACAAAATTGTCAGCAGTCTCACTACATGCCATATAATATATGCATAACTTAGATGATACAAGGAATTTCGTACGAGTAATAACTTGAGCCGAAAAAAAATTTGAAACAATTTTATTTCTGAGAGATCACAAATTATGTTGTTGAGGTAACAGAGCTATTCAAACAGGCAACCCCGCAGAGGACCGCTAAATTTGACACTTAAGAGTGATGACAAATCTAAAAACATAGTTGTTTTAATAGTAATTAACATATTATAATATGTACATATTTCTTTTTTTTTTTTTAGTACCTACATAAAATATGTTAAAAACGTGAAGAGAGAATTAAAGTAAGCATCAACATTAATTACATTCATTTATTTTGCATTGTTTAGTATGCTGCATAAGTGAAAACAATAGAATTTAAAAATGCATGAACAGTAACGGAAGTAATTTGAACCAAAAATGAATCCGCATATCTATATTCTACAATCTGCCTATTCATATTCATGAAGGACAATGTTATTAAATTTGCATCACTACTCATAACTCTTAATTGTTAATCACAAATCTCAATAACAACAATATAAAAAATAAACAAATGATTACAAATAAAATGTACAAGTTAAATTATATTTATTTACAAAATAAATGCATCACAATATCTTCTAATGGCAGTCATTGTTAAGGCAACAATCAATTTTGGTATTGCGCTAGCACGTTATGGTAATTTCGTGATAGCAGAATTTTTTTACAAGAAACATAACCAATTATTCAACAAAATACAGTCATTAATAACAAGACACCTTGAGGGAGGAACTAAACATCTTCCGAACACTGTATTTGACGGTTTCCCGTAGTGCAGAGAAAACATCGTCCTGAAAAGACTTTACGATATTATACGGCAAACTTTTCAAACTAAACATATAAAATAGGATTGTTCCAATTATTTGCATTTGGCACAATTCTCGCCTCGCGTGAGACAGTCAGTATCAGGTACTTTACTAAATCCATCCATATTCACCAACTCTCACAACACAAGTATTGCTATAAAGCTTTTTCTCCATACAAAGTAGTCTCATTACACTAAGTTCTCATAGCAAGATTACAATTAAACATTGTTTTCCTATAATGTCCCAATATTGAAGAGATTTCAAGACACCAATTCTGTTTTTATATTATATTTTTCTCACACTGTTAGTGATAAATTTTACATTCTCATTACATTATTAGAATATCTTTTTGCAAGTGAAATGTTTTAAAAATTTTAATTTAAACCAACTGTTTCTGATATCTATACTGGTCTAATATTATTAATATATATTATATCACATTATTAATGCCTTCATAGATTTTTAAATCTTAAGTTAAAAGGGAATTTTAAGTACAATATAAACTGCCTATCCACCCTTCACAAAACATCATTAACAATGTCGCATTTCAAATGTCTCACACTAAAACTCCAGACGGTATCATGAGCTGGTTGTTACCGCTTTGTACAGTCTTAACCTAGATGCTGACAATGCAGCCACAACAGTGTCACCGTTTAACTGCACAGAACACACATCAAGAGCTGGCTCTGCAGCTGGTAGGGACATAGTCCTAGCACCATCCAATCCGTGTAGGTATAGTGTTGACTCACTCTCAGAATGGGCGGCCACCCAAGAGGCGCCCGGGGCTCTCACCCAGGATGCCCTTGACATCAGGGTGGACCTGGAGGAGCCGGCGAAGCTCTGGTCTACCTCAAACAACACCTCACCACTTGGCACACTTGCTTTCAGCTTGCACAATGTCAGTCTCGATCTCTCTGACCCGTTGGAGCCAGGTCTGCATGACACTAACGCCCTGTGCGACTCGTTGTCGTAGCAGAGCGACATGAATGGGCCCTCTACCGGCAACGCACGGGGCTCCCACTGCCTCATGTTAGCCACCCAGAGCCAGCATGAGTTCAGCTGGCAGGAGAGCAGGCCGAACTCTGTGGAGCAAAGGGACACTACGGGCGACATGTCGCCGGGGGCAGACAGCCTCTGAATGTAGCTGTTAGGGTTTCTGACGTCGTACTGGTGGATCACCCCACCAACTCCGCCGACGTAGAACTCGTTGCTGCGCAAATAATCCCACGAGCAGGACCACAGCGGCATTCCACACTGAATGGTCGCACTCGGGATGCCCCTTTCAACGATTCTCGCGTTGCTGTCCAAGCCGACGCTCAGTAGAAGGTCCCTCGGTTGCGAATAGGTAATGTCGCGGATCGGTTTGGGATGCAAGTGCACGAACTGGCCCAGTTTGTAGTCGACGCAGCTGACCTTGCGTATACCGTAGCCCGGGAATAAATAGTTCACGCTCTTCTGCGTGACGTAGAGCTCGTATGTGCGGCAGTTGTACGTCAGGACGCGACAGCCGCCGTCCTTGCAAATCTCCAGGTTTTTTTCCAGTGCGAACCTCCAAGTTTTTCTCACGGGCTGCTCTTTGGCGACTTGCGACTTCATAAGGGTGCTCCGTAGAACTTCCAGTTGTAAAACGCATGCGCGATGCGCTATCCTACACTTCTGGAGCTCCAGCTCGGCTCGACTCTTCTCCGTCTGGAGCAGCTCCACCTGCTTCTGCAGTGCCGTGATCTGCGTAGAGTCCGCGGCCACCAGACGCCTGGCGTATATGAATCTTATATCCTTTAGGGTCGCCCTACTTTTACAGGTTGGGCACGAACGTTCGCGGGCCGTTTGGGCCTTCAGCCACCTCTCGACACATTGTGCTCCAAACAAATGTCCGCACTTGAGTGCAACGAGTCTATGCTCGCCGGAATTACCCCACGAGTCCAAGCAAATGGGACATGTCTCTCCATCCATGTCATCGCTTTGTTTCGGAGAGCTTAATTTCCGTACCTTCGCGGGCGGTTCCCCAATGTCGTCGTCCTTCCCTAGCTCGGGCTCGGGTAGAGACATCAAGCTGTTGGATTCTTCGTTCGTGTAATTTACTGCGACGGTGTCAGACTGTGAACTCTGTGGACGAAGGGAGTTTGAGTCATCGTACTGCGGCGCGATATGGTCCACCGGTCTCCAAGAAATGGAAGATCTGCCACTGGTGTCTGCTTCATAAGTGACAGTTGCTGCAGAGTCATTACTATTTTCGTTAATTGCTGCATTAACTGCCAGCGGTTCAGTGTCAGGGTTGGTTACACTGTCATCTTCCTGATGCACGTCCCAAATGGCTGGTGGGGTACCTGGTGATGCAGGTTCGAGTAAGTTTGGGCTGCCAGGAGACTCAGGAATTAGGACACTGGAACTTCCTTGGCTGGAAGAGTGTGGAGGGGTACCATTTGGTGGTTCATCCATTATTAGTATTCAATCTGAAATGACAATAATGGTTATTGAATAAAAGTATCATATTTAATTGCAAAGGTACAAAAAACATTTGTAGTTAAATAAGATATTTTTTATTTCAAATGAAGCAATCAGTACATTGAAAGATTTAGATAATATTTAAATACATTTAGATATATACTACATTATTGCTACATATTAGGCTAACATATTACATCTTGGCATTGAATTTTAAAACAAAACAACATCCTTATCTACTATGAACAACTCTCTTAAAAAAATATCTTTCTTAAAATAATCATTCCTTGTTCTTTTAAGTCAGAGTTGTTGATGTTAAAAATTAAAGGGTATTTTTTATTTGTATCCCAAAATTTAAGTTACCACTGACATAATTGGGTCTCGTATTTAAATAACACTAACACAGCAAAAACTACAACCAACAAACACAAAATCTTCTGTGTTCATTGGTTGATTGTCCTATGACCTTAAGGTGGGGCAGAGGAAATCAACAGTACTTCGCCATCGCATTCTGTATTGGGCTATGCGCTTTGCCTTGGACCCTTGTGGAGTCAGTAATGTTTCTGCGACTTCTTTTAAGAGTGTGAATGATCCATGTCCACTTTCGTCGTTGGCTTAGGTGACCGATGGGTGTTTCATGACTAGAGAACCCACAGTTCTTTATAAGAGATCTTTTTAGGCCATAAATACTACAAGATATCTTTCGATGTCGTAAGCATCGGTTTATGAAGACTTGGGTCAGCTGCGTGTTATCTTTTGTCACCCTCCACTTTTCGCTACCATATAGCAGGATGGTTTTAACGTTCAGATCTCCCTAGACTGCCATATAAGTTTGCCAGCTACGAAAAGCTGTCCCGAACTTTTAAGCGACATTATCTTCAGTCCTTCTAGTTTCCGACACAACACTATCGGTAGGTAAGTGAATTTTTTAACATGTTCTATAGTGATTAAAAAATCTCTCCTTTGGTGTGCATTTCCTGGATCTTCCGTGTGTTAATTATGAGGCCATTGAGGGATGCCGCACGTTGTAGATCATAGTTTGGCTTGCATGTCGATGGCTGAGCAGGCACAAGTCATCAACGCAGTCTACGTCATCCAGACAGAGAAACAGTGGGGGAGAAAGGAGATCACCCTATCTGACCCTCGGCCCGGCTGGACAACACGTGAGTATTTCCTGTAAATGTACTTCAGGATATCCCTGATCTTAGTAGGCACTCCAATCTCATCTAGCCGCAAACGAACAGATTCTGGATCAACGAATGGTCTCGACAGCTTTTTCCAAATCGACGGAAGCGATTTCGCGATGCCATTTTGTTCCCATTTAAAGTGTGTGGATCTGGTCAATGCACTAATTGTTTTGCTCTAAAACCAGCCTTTTCTAAGTAGTGGTTCAACAGCCTTTTATAGCCGGTCTAGTTGTGCCTTCCAGATGACTTTGATGGTATAGAGAGACAAGTAGTTCCTCTCCAATTACTGCACTCTCTTATATACCTGGTGCTGGCATGGTTACTGCGCAATAATTAAAAGTCATCTGGGAATTCTTCTTCGACCCACATTATCTCTAACAAAGTTGTTAGTATCTCGACAGTGCTTTCAGGTTAGACCTGAAGCTTTACATCTCTTAGGAAAAGTATAGTTTTATGCCCCGTCTACTGGAATTATATCCGCTGCTGGATATAATTCCAGTAGACGGGGGGTCGTTAACTGGAGTTGAATGCGAGACTGGGGCCGATAAACGAGAGAAATCGTCAAAGAGCTCACGCCGTCTTTTGAGTCGGTTCTCTGCTGTTGTAATCAGTTAGCCTGCTTGTCTCGTAGAGGCTTTTTCCTGTAGCGACGTTGCGAAGCTGAGGTCTTTGCTGCACCATATGTCATTTGTTCCAATTATCTGAACTATATTATCATATCGATGACTCCGTGGCGCAGTTGGCTAGGCTAGGTATTGACTTCGGAGTCGAGGGTGGGTTCGATTCCCACACGGGACAAAAATTTGTGTGACCCACAGATAATTGTTTCGCATCTGGGTGTTTGTCCGCGAGAAATTTATGTTTGTAAAACATCCTTACAATAATTCTTCTTCTTGCTCGGTCCCTCAATGCTGAGGATCGTGACCACATGATGTTCTCCTCCACTGCGTGCGGTCGTAGGCGGTGTGAACCGCTCGTTGCATGCTGCCGCCCACCGCGTTCTTCACTGCGTCAGCCCATCTTGTCGGTGCCCTGCCTTGAGCACGTCTCCCGTTCATCAGGCCAGTAATTATCTGCTTTTCTAGACTGTGCCTTGCAGATCGCATAATGTGTCCAAAAAAGCAGAGGGCCCGTTTACGGCAAATTGAAGAAAGCCGCTTCGTGATGTTTAGGTCTTTTAGTATTGAGTCGTTGGTTCTCCTGGCAGTCCAAGGAATACGGAGCATCCTACGCCAACACCACATTTCGGAAGCATCGATTTTACTGCAATCACGGCTTCTTATGCTCCATGTTTCGGCACCATACATAAAAATAGGGATGACCAACCCTCGTACCAAGCGCACTTTAGTTGCACGTCGAATACCACGGTTCTTCCATAACTTTTCGAGTCTAGTCATAGCACTTTTGGCCATACCGGCTCTACGACGAATTTCATCAGTGCAGCTGCCATCATTGGATACCAGCGACCCAAGGTATACAAATTGGCTGACTTTTTCATATCCATTGAGTGCATCGGAGACTGGCAGTGTTTGTGCTCGGTCTACCACCATTATTTTACTTTTAGAATGGTTGATCTTAAGACCCACTTTTGCACTCTCGACTTCAATTCTCTTCGACTCTTTAGAAGTGCCGCCGTTTCCACTTCACTCGATGCAACAACTGTCGTATCATCTGCATACCTTAAGTTACAGATCCTTCGACCACCGACTGCAACACCACCGTCCCAGCCTTCCAGTGCTTTCCTCAAGATATATTCCCCGTACAAATTAAATATTTTTGGTGACAGAATGCAGCCCTGGCGTACGCCTCGTTCTGGGTGGAAGCTCTTAGATTTCTGGTTTTCCAATTTCACGAAGCTTGAGCTATCAAGGTACAGATTCTGTATAAGGTAGGTAAAATGTTCAAGAACACCCATCTCTACCAACACATCGAACATCGTCCTCCACTGGACACAATCGAACGCCTTGGCATAGTCGACAAAGCACAAGACCAGAGCTTTGTTAAATTCACGACATTTCTCAATGAGAATACGTACGTTCAAAATTTGTTCGCGAGTACCCTTTCCAGTTACAAAACCGGTTTGTTCACTCGGTATCTGGTGATCTACAAAAGCTGATAGCCTGGCGTTCAAATGCGCAGCAGGATTTTGCTTGCATGTGACATGAGTGACAAGGTTCTGTAGTTTTCGCATTTCCTAGTAGATCCTTTCTTGTGCAGCGGGACAATAGCAGCTTGTGTCCAGTCTTCTGGCCACTGACCCGTTCTCCATATCTTATTGCATATCTGGTGGATGATCTTGGTCCCTTCACAACCTAGGTGCTGTAGCATTGCCGCGGATACGCCATCAGGACCAACCGCCTTATGCTTCAATCTTTTAATAGCGTCTTGTACCTCAGAAAGCAATATATCTGGTTCTCTGACGTGATCATCCCACTTCCTTTCAACATCGAGTCCATCTTCTTCCCTATAGAGTTCATAACAGTAGCTCCTCCATCTCTCCAGAACTCCATTGAGCTCTGTCAAGGTGTTACCTCTGCTGTCATCTATGATCCAACTCTTAGGATTGAAGGTAAGACCTGTAAGCTGTTAAACTTTTAAGAAAAAATCTTTTGTTTGCGCTTTGTCACAATGTCTCTCCCTTTCATCACATAGATTGTTGATGTATAGGTGTCTGTCTCTCCGGGTGGAATTTTGAACTTTAGCATGCAGCAGGTTGTAACGATTCAGGCTACTGACAGTCATAAAACCTTCCCTTTTAAGCATCTTCCTCTCCTCAATTAACTATCACGACTCTTTGCTTATACACTCTTCCTTTTTAGTTACTGTTTTAAAAAGGTCCCTACTCTCTTTTGCGGTATCTAATATAAGTTTCTTGAGAGAAGTCCATTCACCTTCGCCAGAGTCGAAAGGATCCCATTCTAGTGACTTGATCTTTATGTCAATGGTTTTGTGAAAAAGGTCTAGAGCCGGTTTATTAAGCACAAGGGACTTTTGGGGTTTATGTCGAGTACTTTTTAAGCGAAGTCTAAGTCCATTACAAGTTGACGATCACTGCCGCAATCAGCGCCAGGGAGAGTTTTAGCATTGGTGACTGAAGATCGCCATCTGGATTTTATTGTTATAAAATCTATCTGGTTTCTATGGCCTTGAGGAGAAGTCCAGGTGTATAATCTCATTGGATGATTTTCGAACCAGGTGTTCATGATACACAATACAGGATAATGTTATCCTAAAGGGCAACGTTCTTTTAAAAGAAAATAAAAAAAAATAAAAGAATGTTGTGTGTACAATAAAGAAAAAAGAAATCAAAACTCCATTGGCCCATTGTCGTTTATCTTATCTGGTTCTACGATAGATACCCCTCCGAATTTGCCGATACTGTCCTGAGTTGGGTGTGGTCAGTGTCCCTGTGTGTACTCAGAATTTCAAAATGGAGCAATCTACGATCCCAATGAGATCCCAGGTCTACTAAAGTATCGAGTCTTCGCACTTTTCCTATTTTTAACCCACGACTACGGAGCTGATTGCCATCAAGTAGACCACACATTCTCAAATTATTATCATATCATAGAGTATCATTGTACATATATCAATTTCGTAATTAAGTCTGTTATCATTCTAATAAATACTAGTATTGTTTATATCATCATAACCAGTGCTAGGAGTTAGCCCCAACATCATTTTGGTCCTTCGAGAGGACCACTGCCCTGATGGTGAAGGGGTAACACTGAATTACGCTAAACTTACATGCCTTGGAGTTAAAGCAAGGGCTTATGATGATTGTGGTCAGAGACCTTTCCAATACTGGAGGCTCTTCCTTGCAATGTTAGAGTAGAAATCACACAATGTAACACTAATATATATAAAAACACTGATAGACATCATCTATATTTTCTTTTTCTGAGTGGGGGAGAGTTAAGCACCTAGATGTTCTCTGCTCTCGAAAATCTATTGCTTCACAGTACACTTAGGCTGAGGATGCGTACATTGTGTACTGTTACATAATTCCTAATAATGAATACATTAATATAAAATACATATAAACAAATAGTCAAATAGTCCTAACAAGGTTTAAAAGAACCAAGATTATGGATATTATATGTCTGTGTTAACCATAAACAGTATCTAGAATTTAGGATTTTAAAATGTAAACCTAAGTCATAGAAGTAGTTCAATGTAAAAGTAGAGTAACATTTTACTTGTATCTCTCCCATAAGTTTGTTAAGATCTAAACTTTGTACGGGTAAAATAGGAACAGTAGGTTTCTGTATTTGTTCTACAAGGTATTATATATTGAAATTAATTTGCAGATTTTACATGTCAATTGGTTTGACACTAAGCAATCAGATACCAATTAAATGTACAATAATCCGTTTCTTTAAACCGGAAGACATCCTAAACAATCCTTCCAAAGTTAGATTTAAAATGTAAACCTTAAGTCCGCAGATCATATTAAAATATAAGAAAAAGAGTATCAAACATTACACGAGCAAATAAGTATGCGAATAAAGGTAAGATTTACTCACAGTAAGTGTGTCTATTTCTTCATTTTATGACTTTTTTACAAAGAATGCCGAAACAGTTCGCCGACAAATAAACGATCAGAATTTTTGTGTGTATGGAACACAACAGAGATAATTGATGTATATAAACTTTGGAACTCATCGACAGCAGATTTTGAATATCACTCAAGATTTTCTTTCCTGTCAATTTAAGAGATGGAAGAAAACAAAATCGAAATCACCATCCGTTGAGTTTGTGCACAGAATTTTACTTTTTACAGACAGCTGTGGTGACAAATAGGGTCGTGCCTTATTTTACTATCATATTCTATTTTATTCTACGTTTTTGATTATTATATTATAAAAAGGAATGTTTAATGTCATGAAGATTATAAGCACTACTTAATTTATAAAAAGCTGAAGAAGTTATTTTCAAACTTTGAAAGTTATGGGGTTTATTCTAAAACCCCATAACTTTCAAGGTTTTCAATTTCCTTCATCTCAATTTTTTTTGTATGAACGTAAGCCGCTATGCCGAATGAGGATGATATGAAAATTTGAAATGATTATTAAATTTATGACCCAATATTCCCAGAACCAAATTGTCATACAAATTGTTAATCTACTAAATGCAAATTGCAATAGCACAACCCTATTTATTCATATTTGGATACAAAATACTCTAACTCTATTCGGGTTACAAGAATCACCTTCGTCTTTCGTTCGAATTCGATTATTGTTCAATCGTTATTTCATGAAATACTTCATTATTTCATAAGTCATTTTGCGTTTATTAATAACTTTCGAAAGCAAACTCCTTATTCTCAAAATGTTAATACAGTTATGTTACTTAATATTTTTAAAGTATCCGAACACTTTTTTTTATAGTATTGGCAGCATTAGTATTTATTTATTAAATCAAGCTGTTGGTGTTGGCAGTAGTGTTCGAATTGCGATCTAGTAGGAAAGCATAACGGGGCTGAATTCATCTCTGTTTTTCACTTTTATCACTCGAAGAGCTTTTATCTGTGACTTAAATGAGTATAATTATAACTAATAAACAAAGATAACGAATATGAACAAATATTTTAACGCCTGACTCTCGGTGAGAATGGTGATTTTGTTTTAAGTGACGTGATTTCCTACTAATGGCGGTCCATGACAGTGCGTTGATATGTTTTGTGTGAAAAATCAAGAAATTAAACGGAGGATTTAATAGTGATGCCGGTGACTGTTGGTAAGTATCGTGAACTTTATAGGTAAAATATAATTTGATGCTTAAATATTTTTTCATACATAAATATTTCCTTTAAAACTGACCATTGCTAAAATTTCTTTTTGTATACAGTATACATTTGGTTTTCTACAAAATTGGTGGTATCTGTATGCAAGGCATGGGTCAATATCGTGGGGCATCTCGCCTGTTGACGTTTTAGCGAGAAATAGTCGCGTTTAACGATGTCGCAAGTTGCGTATCTGGGTCATCAGAGTTCAGGCCACAGACGCGCGCAGTGACGTCACGCCGCCTCCCCTTTCTGCTCCACACCCCCAACCACCTTCACTTTCAAAATTTCAGTGTTGTGTCAGCCCTATTATATCGTACATGCTATATTTTAATCGCCTCAGATACCCCCCTGTCCCAATTGCAGGCTGTCGCGGAAGTGATCTCGTGATCGCGATAAAACAATGTTCCGTTGTAAAATTTGCAGCATAAGTGACGGTTGTTATTCATTGTGTAAGTTATCCTGACCTCCTTCTGCATGCTAACCCATATCTGCTTAAAATGTCAACTCCCCACCCTGTCATCAGTTGAAATACACCCTTGCATCTGCATAGTTAACTTTTGTTGTATTTCATTACTAGGCTACACTGTATAAAAGTCTATCCACAATCACCCATTGTAAATCAAGGCCCCAGCATTGGCCTTATATTAGTTATACATATATTGATCATTTAATTATATAGATTTATTTGTCAAACCAATATATGTTTCACATATTATATTTCAATAAGCATTAAAGATTGAAATTTTGAAATGAATACTTGTCACCTTTATATAATATCATCTTTTTTTTTTCATCATCATCATCATCATCATATCAGCCGTAGGACGTCCACTGCTGAACATAGGCCTCCCCCATTGACTTCCACTTCGACCGGTCGTTAGCGGCCTGCATCCAACGCGTCCCTGCGATCTTTTTTTTCATATCCTTACTATATACATAAATAATAATTTTAATACATAGGTATATATTGTTCACATAAACACCTTTGTTAATTTACAGAGCAATAGTTTTAATTGAATCTAGTTATGGATTTATTCAAGGTGATAATACATCTAAAGAGTAATTTAATAATACCATTGTAACTGTTGTTGAGTGACTCTAGCAAACACAATGATTTAAGTAGGAAGACCTTTATTCTATGTTATTAAGGATTATTTAATTTAAAACTTTATTGCAATATAAAAACAATGTACAAAGGTTGAACTTAATGCCTTTAGGCATACTCTACCAGGGGTGTGGAGATAAATTCTGTCGTTACCATCGCAACATTAAATTAACACACATCTCATGCTGCTTGCATAAAAAAATATAAATGCATCATCATCATGCAAAGAAGTATGTTATTCTTTTTCTGCAATGTTTGTTGTAATAATTAAGACACAACTTCAAAATTACTTTCAAAATGTCGCTTAATCGGTTTGTTACTGGTACACCCACCCTACTTGAATTACAAACAAAGATCACCTACATACTTATGATTGTTTCTTCATGCAATGTAATTGTACGATAAGAGGTGATAACTAGCAATAAATAGTTAAAGTTTATGACATATATTTATTGATAAGATCGTTTATTAATAATTATTGAGACTGCTATTGAATATTGTTGTCTGGCTAGTAGAATAGTATTAATAAATAACATGTCTATGCTTCTTTATCCTCCCCTATTTATGCAAACACTAGACAAATTAAAGTTATCTTTTGGATTATAGCTGTGATAGCCCTTTGTCTGGGCGCTCATTTATAGTAGGTAGATAGAAAAATTATTGAGTGGAATATTGATATTGTGTGAAAGAGAAATTTATACCATAGAACCTCTTTAAGTGAACCTCGATAAGTCGAACACTCCAAAACTCGAAACCGTTTTCTGTTTTTCCTTTTCAAATACCAAAAGCGAAATTAAATTAAAAAAGAATTATACTCTAAATGTCAAAACTCAATTAGTCGAAATAATCAGTGAGTCCCTTTTGAAAAGTACCACAACACAAAAAATAATTTGAACCGAACCGAAGCCATTGCGAAAAGAAAATTTTAAAACTTTAGAATCGTCATAAATGACAATCGAACTCATTCTTTTTGGAGTCAAATTTCGGCGTTCGGCAAAATTATTTAAATTATGTACTCCTCATCCTAAGGTTGTCTGGAAGAGATCGCTTTTAAGCGATACGACCGCCTTATTCCACATACTTTTTAAGTTTTATTTTATAGGTACTAATTGTATTAAATTCTTTGTGGTGTACAATAAAGTATATAATAGTAATACATAAGGCTTTTGTGTATTTCACTTCGGATCGGGAAGTCGAGACTCGAACCTGGAATCCCGCGCTGGGACGCGCCTCCACCGCTCAACCAAAACTCCCAGTTTAAGTAGGGCCACGCAGCAGCCTCGGCTGTTGCACGAATGGGCAGGCTCGTCCGGGTGAGTACCACGACCTCACAGAAGACCGGCGTCAAGTGGAAGTGTAATACCTTCGCGTTTCGTCTGGTGAGTGTGGTAGCCGAGGCCCAATTTTCAAAAGGTTGTCAACGCATCTGCAACCCTCGGGTGTAGCAGATGCCCATGGGCGGTGGTATTCACTTAACTCCGGATGAACCACCTGCTCGCTTGGCAACTTCTCACATAAAAAAAAAGTAGCGTGTTTTCTTTAGAGTTCGCGTCTTGCATGAGTTATGAAGTGTCGACCCAGTTTTATTTTCCCCTCTACGAATGCCTCGCCGGCTTAATTACTACCCGCAACGAGTGTGTTTATTTTTAATTTTTCTTTCATCCCATTCCGGGATAAAGTTAATTATATACAGATCACATATGGTTTGAGAGGTGACAGTACCGAAAACGTAACTAAAGAAAACATCAGGTGAAATCATATTGAAAGTAGATAAAAAAATGATAAAAGAAATCTCACGCGTGACTATGAAGTCTGTAAGGTACAAAAGAACCATAACTAAACGCGTAAAAAATCCGTGAATCCATTTAATTAAACAGACATATATTCAGATTTAACATCGCAAATAGAAATGAAATATTATTAAAATATGTAGAAAAAGTGCGAAAAGATTGTCGCCGATGTGGGAATCGAACCCACGTCTTCGGCATTCGCGGCCTGACGCTCTAGCCACTGAGCTAAACGGCTGATTACCACACCGACGAATATCTTAACGCATTCTTCCACATTGTTTTCTTAGCATTTGAAGCAATGCTTGGCGCCATCTATTGTTATATCCTTTCCAGCATACAAACAACTTCGAATATCGTTTTACAACGATAATTCGAACGAGAGATGTCGCCATTGCTTTTTTAGAAATTTAAATTGTTTATAGTGCTAATCTTTGCACTTAAGATTTAACATTAAAATATGTAGAAATAAGTGCGAAAAGATTGTCGCCGCTGTGGGAATCGAACCCACGTCTTCGGCATTCGCGGCCCTCTAGCGACGCTCTAGCCACTGAGCTAAACGGCTGATTACCACACCGACGAATATCTTAACGCATTCTTCCACATTGTTTTCTTAGCATTTGAAGCAATGCTTGGCGCCATCTATTGTTATATCCTTTCCAGCATACAAACAACTTCGAATATCGTTTTACAACGATAATTCGAACGAGAGATGTCGCCATTGCTTTTTTTTAGAAATTTAAATTGTTTATAGTGCTAATCTTTGCACTTAAGATTTAACATTAAAATATGTAGAAAAAGTGCGAAAAGATTGTCGCCGCTGTGGGAATCGAACCCACGTCTTCGGCATTCGCGGCCTGACGCTCTAGCCACTGAGCTAAACGGCTGATTACCACACCGACGAATATCTTAACGCATTCTTCCACATTGTTTTCTTAGCATTTGAAGCAATGCTTGGCGCCATCTATTGTTATATCCTTTCCAGCATACAAACAACTTCGAATATCGTTTTACAACGATAATTCGAACGAGAGATGTCGCCATTGCTTTTTTAGAAATTTAAATTGTTTATAGTGCTAATCTTTGCACTTAAGATTTAACATTAAAATATGTAGAAAAAGTGCGAAAAGATTGTCGCCGCTGTGGGAATCGAACCCACGTCTTCGGCATTCGCGGCCTGACGCTCTAGCCACTGAGCTAAACGGCTGATTACCACACCGACGAATATCTTAACGCATTCTTCCACATTGTTTTCTTAGCATTTGAAGCAATGCTTGGCGCCATCTATTGTTATATCCTTTCCAGCATACAAACAACTTCGAATATCGTTTTACAACGATAATTCGAACGAGAGATGTCGCCATTGCTTTTTTAGAAATTTAAATTGTTTATAGTGCTAATCTTTGCACTTAAGATTTAACATTAAAATATGTAGAAAAAGTGCGAAAAGATTGTCGCCGCTGTGGGAATCGAACCCACGTCTTCGGCATTCGCGGCCTGACGCTCTAGCCACTGAGCTAAACGGCTGATTACCACACCGACGAATATCTTAACGCATTCTTCCACATTGATTTCTTAGCATTTGAAGCAATGCTTGGCGCCATCTATTGTTATATCCTTTCCAGCATACAAACAACTTCGATATCGTTTTACAACGATAATTCGAACGAGAGATGTCGCCATTGCTTTTTTAGAAATTTAAATTGTTTATAGTGCTAATCTTTGCACTTAAGATTTAACATTAAAATATGTAGAAAAAGTGCGAAAAGATTGTCGCCGCTGTGGGAATCGAACCCACGTCTTCGGCATTCGCGGCCTGACGCTCTAGCCACTGAGCTAAACGGCTGATTACCACACCGACGAATATCTTAACGCATTCTTCCACATTGTTTTCTTAGCATTTGAAGCAATGATAAACAATTTAAATGAAATATTACTTAATTACTTACATTCGGTTATATAATTACGTCGTGTAATGAAATGAAGGAAAGATAGAAGGAAAACGGGGGAGGGGACTAAGACGAATGACATGGAGTGACAATTTGAAAAAATGGACAGACATCAAGGACGCCGTCAGTCTTTGTTGATTGGCGCAGAATAGAGAAGAGTTCCGCGTGGTGGTCGCCGACGTCCGATAGGACAGGGCACCCCAGAAGAAGAAGAAGGAAAACGGAACTGATGGGGAGGGATGTTTATGATGATGAATGATAGCGCTGTTTCATCCCGCCAGGGGGCGCGTTCGGCGCAGCGTCGGTGCGGCGATGAGGGCGGCGTCGCGGCGCCGCACATGAGCCGGCTCCTGTGCTGCCTGCGCGCGCGCCGCCACGACATGGGCGCCGCGCTCTCGCAGCCGCAGGTGAGGGGCGGGGGGGGCGCTTCTAACGTGCGTGTATCTGCGGCCTCGTCCGGGGAAGAACCGCCCCAGTGTAGTAGACGACCCGCGCGACGTGGACTTCGTGTAGTGGATGGGGCGGCCAGAGTTTTTATAGGTTTCCAAAGCACCCGCGACCCCTAGGGTGTGCGAGACGAGCGTGGGTGAAGGTGGACCCCTTTTTTTATGGAAAACGAGGCAGACCAGATGTTAAGTGGTCCACGGACACTCGCAAAATCAAAGCGGTCACAGATGCGTTGCCGGCTTTTGAGGAAGCAACAGGCTCTCCTCCTGAAGGTCCCTAAGCCGTATAGGTGCAGAAATACCACTGGCGACAAATGATTCCACAACTTCGTAGTGCGTGGCAGAAAGTAACGTCGCAAACGCTACAGTCGTCTGGCAACCATCGCTTCTTTCGCTTGCCAGACTCTGGTTTTGAAATGTGTGAGTTTGGTCCTTCGAGCCGGTTGATCGCCTCGATTCTAAGCACTTACATTCAATTCCTACCCACTCTATTTATATCATTGAATGGGCTATTTGCCTGGAGAGATTATGGGCTTTTGTTAGCCTTTCTCGATATTAGTGTAATGGTCTGATGTGTAATAAAGGGCCCAGTAGAAGATTGATATTGTTTATTAAACACTCCTAATGCGTCATCATGAAGTCGCAAAAATCATAAAGTCCAAATATTAAACAACCTCTATCAACATTATGATTCATCTTAACAGCACTTGATTTGATAACAAACAGGAAACATAATTTGCAGTGTACAATGTGCCTGCAGTGCGATTTCAATACAAACATATAAATACTGTAATGAATATTGCGATTGCCAGATCATATTTATTATATTTTTCAAACATCTTCTAATATATAAATTGATATTACTACTGAATATACAATTATAATGCTAATTATTAGGCAAACGGTCCGCGATAAAAAGAAAACTAGTATGAAAAAAAGAAGTGATTTAATTTAAAATCATTCATTTATTGTTTCTGTTATATATTTCGTATAAGATGATAATGGTGAGTACAATTCGCTATGACTCGCCCTTTAGATTGTATAAAATTTCAACACATTAAAATTTATAACATGATTTTGTTATAAATAACATCTGTCACAATTAACATGAAATCTGTATGTATAAATAAAGTGATAGAGGTCTGTTCTCTGCATCGTTGAAAACTTAGTGAATAGGTTTTAAGTAATTACACTTCGTTTTTATTTCTTAGACACTTGGCCCTTATCTAAAAAAAATGATAAAAAATGATTCGATGGTTGCTCTATTGCTGTCCCTCTCTAACAGGAGGGCGAGGCGTGCGACGGCGCCGCCGAGCCTGTCGCGCCGCCCACCATGGCCGACGTCATACGGTGAGTGAACTCTTTGTAAATAAAAACCAAGCTCATCACACAATATTTTTCCAGTACTGAGGATCGAACCCACACCCTCTGGCGCAGGAGGCAGGTGCACTACACACTACGCCAATCGGTCGGCCCAACAAATACCTCAATACACATTTTATTTTATTTTACTTTGTAGGGTGGGGTGTTGAATTAATATAGAAGGACATGATGGTCAAATCTATGTTAAGGAGAAAGGTACTAAGGTGTCTTGTCTGACACCTTAGTGTTAAAATATATCTTTTTTTTAATTTAAAGTGAAAAGTTGCCAATCGAGCAGGCGGTTCACTTGCTGTTAAGTGATAACCGCCTCCCATGGACACTTGCAACATCCGAGGGTTGTTGATGCGTTGGATAAAAATCGACCTCCGGCCATCTCACACACCAGACGAAACGCGAAAGTTTCACTTGACGGCGGTCTTCTGTGAGGTAGTGGTATTTACCCGGACGAGCCTGCCCATTCTTGCAACAGCCGAGGCTGCTGTATGGCCTTACCACCGTCAAATTTTTCAAAGTAATGTCGTTTGCATTATCCATTGCCCATCCATCAGGGAGCGCAAGAAAAAAGCGGGCGGCGCGGCCCTTGGCACTCTGCGGAGACGGATCGTGGCCGCAGCCAGGAGGCCCAGGGACTCTCGACCGGACAGAGGTCAGTGGGGCATAGGACGCCCGTCTTGGGGCACTATATTAGAACGATTAATGGCCCCAAATCAAGTGAGGTCGCTTCACATGCTTTTCTTTTAGTTTGAAATTGGCAAGAGAGCAGACGGCTCATCTGATGTTAAGTCATAGGCAGATGCGTCCACCTTTTCAAATCAAATCATTTATTCATCGAAATAAGAAATATACATTTCACCTATCGAAGGTAATTTTTTAAATCTACCACCGTTTCGTAATGAGGTTCCTCTAACGGAGAAGAAACAAGCGAAAGAAACACTGTCACCCTTTTTTTTCAACAAAATTAAAATATTATACATCCTTTAGAAATAGCTAGGTAGCGATCAACTTATTCCCAGGTGTTATTTTCATTAATGTATACATTTATATTATAATAACCCTTTTTGTAAAGTTTTTCTTTGATAAATTCCTTAAACCTGTTGATAGGCGGGCTTTGCGCATTCACTGGGATTTTGTTGTGGAAGCGTACACACCGCCTCATGAACGAGTACTTGCTCTATGCAGTCTAGTACAGTTACTAAATAAAGAGCCGTGATAGCTCAGTGTCCGGACACTAGCCTTTAATTCAATATACTCGAGCAACCTGAGTTCGATCCCCGGTGCCGGCACCCATGAAATTGTTAATTTTAAGTGCCGAATTATCACTAGCTCAGCGGTGAAGGGAAACATCGTGAGAAGGAAACCAGCATATTTTCAAATTAAAAAGATATGTGAAGTCCGCCAATCCGCAGCGGGGCCGCGCGGGTGGACTATGATCCGATACCCTCTGTACAGAGGAGGCATTTGCCCAGCTGTGGGACACGTATAGGCCGATGGTTTACTCTACAGTTAGTAGACTCGTCCGATGCTGTGTGTTGTCCGTGCGCAGGGTGCGAGCACGGCCGCTTCATCCGCTCGGTGGTGAGCAGCTGGCGGCTGGCGGAGGTGTTCGTGCTGTGCGAGCAGCTGGAGGCGGGCGCGGCGCTGCGGGACCTGGCCACGCAGGCCGAGCTGGCGCGCGAGCCGGCGGCGGCGCTGCACGCCGACCTGGCCGCGGCCCACCGCGACGGGTGGGGGCGCTTAGAATCGCATACGAATGTGTCCAGCCGTCTTTGATACCACACGGAACACGGAATCTCCAGTCCTAAACTAATACTTACTCAACTGTACTCAAAATCAAAATATTGTATTCATCGTACATTATGTTCATCGTACAATATTTTCATAGTAATGGGGATTGAATCCATACACTATGGCGCAGGAGAAAAGTCCGCTTACCACTCCACCAATCGGGTCGCCATATATATGTAAACTAGCATCAGCCTGCATGCGTCTCAGAAACTTTGGGCTGATTAGATTAGATTGTCTTAAAACTTCATCCGAATATGTTGAATCGTTTTGGACTACATAGGGAACAACTAGCGTCAGTCTGCGTGCGTTGCAAATCAGCTGTTGCAACCTGTATGCTGGGCTCAGGGATCAAAATACCGGTAAAATACAGTAACGTTATCTGGGCCAGTGTGAGATAACGTTATTTTTAAGAGAAACGTTATTAAAAACGATATTGTGAAAAGCTTTGCAGGCGCATAACGTTATAATTGCGTTACGTTACAGTCGTAAATTAAACGTTTCTAAAATATTGTTATAAAAATAATAAAAAAACGTTTAATAACGTTATTATTTATTGTTCTATGCCATCTCTTTTACTCAAAACGGTTTACTCTTTTTTGCGTATGTTCTGTCTCATTTATCTTATGTTCTGTCGCGCTTATATTGTGGTCGTCGGTACAGCAATTGAACTAACAGAAAATTTTGCTTAAGTTACTAAGAATATGATAGGTAAAGGTAGTATTATTTCTTTTGCGGGCATCTTTCTTCGCTATCTACTTAGTACCATCGCTCGCGTTCACTTAATGTTTTCATCTAGGGACGAAGCCAACGAGCCGTGACTCGATGGGGTTGCGTCGTTCCATTACAGAGTCCCTATGGCCACCTTTCAGCTCCATCATCAAACCCTGGTTACCATCAAGTACCAAAGTACTCGTCAAGACGAAGCCAACGAGCCGAGACTCGATGGGGTTGTGTCGTTCCATTACAGAATCCCTATGGCCACCTTCCAGCTTCATCATCAGATCAGTACCATGTCATCATAATATTGCATTGTCACGCGATTTACACATGTATGCAAAATTTCAGCTCAATCGGTACCTAACCGGGAAGTGGATCAAATTTAATTTGCAAGAATTGATGACAAACATCGCTACAGGTGAAACTAAATGAAAGCTTGCTAAATTAAATTCGTCGCAAGGGTTTACAAATGTTTAGGCATCGTTTTAAAACGTTGCCGTGCTGTGCGGGGAACCCCCATCCGAGCTAACAGTTGGATCCCCGCTCATTTTTCGCGCGCTTTAGAAATAAATAAGTTTGGCAACGTTGCGTATTTATCGTTATAATAACGTTAATAACGTTAATTTCTCTGTAATCATTTCGTTCTGTTACTCGTATAACGTTATACAAAAAAAATTGAAAACGAAATGTTTTCTGAGGTACCGATACCATTATAACGTTATGATATCGTTATAAATTTCGTTATGCATAACGTTTTAAGTCCCTGGCTGGGCTGATCATATTAAATAGCCTGAGAATATCATCCGAATTGGTACAGCCAATTTGGACTCCATAGGGAACAAGATAGACTCGCATGCATTAGAGAAACTTGTATTGCCAAGACCACTCGCCGGGTTAACAAGATTAGATCGCCTGACAATTTCATCCGTATATGTCCAGCTGCCAAAAAAAAAAGGTTGGAAATGTCGGTCATGCGAAAAGGTTGTGTGGTGTGCTAGGGTACAGTTAATGTCTATAATCCAGTCTCATTGCATTGTCGTTTTTTTGTTATATGAGAAGGTTGCAAGCCAACTGGCAGTTTTGATGTTAACTGATAACCGCCGCCAAGTGACATTTGCAACACCCGTAGCAAACCATTTAGCAAATCACTCGTGAGTGAAATCTTTTTTTGTGAAAGCATTGCCCTAACTATAGGACGACATTATCCTGCTTTGTAAGGGCGTTTTACATACATAAGTTTCACACGGACAAACACCCAGATGCGAAACAACTGTCCTTGGGTGATGGGGTCACACAAACAGTTGTCCCGTGTGTGGGATTGAACCCACGACCTCTATTGCCAAAGTGATTATAAAATACTAGGAGCTAATTGGCAGTCGTGGCGTTACCATTTGGCAGGTGGTGGTGCGATGTGGAGCTGGTGGGCGCGGGCTGGTCCGTGGCGGCGCACAGGGCGGTGCTGGCCGCCAGGTGCTCTTACTTCAGGGAGCTGTTGCAGCGCTACCCCAAGTATGTGCCAGGAGCAGCATTTGGATGTTTTATCTCAAAAGCTGCCAAGAGAGCAGATGGTTTATCTATTTGTTTATCCATCGTCTGGTGGTAGCCGACATCCGATAGGATAGGGCACCACCAAGAGAGAGAAAGAGAGATAGAGTGAGTGAGTGAGAGTGAAACTTTACTCTATACCAATGTAATGTGTTGCAGTTTGTGCCGCGTGCCGCTGGAGGGCGTGGGCGCGTCGCTGTCCAAGGAGGAGGCGGAGCTGGCCGTGCTGGCGCTCTACGCGGGCCCCTCCGTCTGCAGAACGCCCCCCTGCGACAGATGCTGCAGTGAGTGGCTCGGTTTTGGGGTTCCGTACCCAATGGGTGGAACGGTACACATTACTAAGACATTGTTGTCTGTCTGTCCCTCTGTCAAGCCATGATAGTTAGTTGAAATTTACACAGATGATATATTTGAAATGTATTTTTTTTTGTAAATACTTAAAAATATTTAAGTGGGGCTCCCATACGACGGACATGATTTTTTATTGCCGTTCTTATAGATAATGGTACGGAACCCATCGTGCGCGAGCTGACTCGCACTTGGCTGATTTTTTATATGATTAACATGAAAGTATGGAATGTAAATATCACAAGTAATTCTCATAAAATGCCAAGGATAGTCGTATAGGAACGGAGTATGTAAGACGATAGCAGTAGTAGCAATACTACAACAGCAGCAACTAGCAGTAGTACAACACTCAAAGTAATGAAGGCAAGTCTCAACCAAGCTCAATTTCCAAGGATGGACATCTTAAAGCGAAACTTTAAATACTATATTCTGAGACGCGGCTGTTTCCCTTCGCAGAATGGGAGAGGAGCACGAAAGCAGAGTCGGATTTGGATATAATTAGCGGCGAGAGTACACTTTGTGAGTGATACAAATGATATTCAAAATATCTCTGTAGTCGGTTTAGTCTATTTTTCTTTATGTGCAAAGTTGCCAAACGAGCGGACGGTTCACCTGATGGTAAGTGGATACCGCCGCCCATGGACAGCTGCAACACCCGAGGGTTCAAGATGTGGGCTCCGGCTACCTCACTCACCAGACGAAACGCGGAAGATTATACTTCCATTGTGGTACTTACCTCGACGAGCATGCCCATTCAAGCAACAACCGAAGCCGCTGCGTGGCCCTACCATCTTATTCTATGTATCAAACTGACAAATTAGAATGTAGCACACATGGATAACTTTATAATATATATGCACAGAGTGGGTATAGACCAACACATAATTTTTATTAATGTTTTAGTGTGTCCATATACTAAAGGATAATGTGTTCATGTGATATATTATCTAAATTATTCCGAACTTCTTTTATAAAATTAAATTACGGAATGTTATTTTTATGTTCCGGTATTTATTTATGTAACATTTTATTTAGATCGATCTTTGGTCCTTCGAACTGGATAAAAGTAAACAGATAATAGATGTCCCTTAGTAACGAACTCTAATAAATTAAAAATATGTCAGAGTCGTACATTAAAATGTATGTGTCACACAAAATCAAATCAAAATCATTTATTAATCGACATGAAAAACATTACAACCTATATCACATATAAGATATCACCTATCGATAGTAATTTATTTTTAAATCTACTACCGTTTCGTAACGAGGTCCTCTAACGGAGAAAAAACAGGTGAAAGAACCCTCTTTAGATTCACTAGCTAGCGGCTAACCTATGTTTTACGGAGTTCCGTAGGTATCCTCTCATTTGTCACTTATCCGGCTCGAAGGACCAATTTGAGGTGTGAACTGATGTTGTGCAATGCGTGTTGCCAGCGCGCCGCGGGGCCGTGTGCGGGTGCTCGTGCGGCGGAGGGGGCGGCGGCGGAGGGGCCGCGAGGGGGCGCGGCGTGCGGCGGCTCGCCGAGCTGCTCGGCTTCTCGCTCGACACCCTGCACCGGGACATGAAGTATTTGCTGGACTCGGGTGAGTCCCCACTAGAGGCTAAGTATAATATTTAAGGTGTCGTGTTGTTTAGAAAATTCTTTTTTTTTCTCTAAGAGCGCATCTCCAACTAGTGAAGGTTGGAAATCAGCTGTGCATACTTCTTTTTGTCTTTTGTCAGGCTAAACAATTCGGTGACACTATAAATACCTGTCCATTGTCGAATGGACCGGAAATCTTGGCTGCGTTTCTATTATGCAATAAAAGAAACGCAGCAAAGATTTCCGGTTTCCTCGCAATCTGAAAGGTACATTGTGGATTATGCAATGATGTGACACCCCTCTTTTTTTAATATAATTCTATTCCCCAGCTGCTCGCTGATTTATTACATAAATAATAATTTTTGATTTAATACTTAAATAATTAACAAAAAGTAAGACGTTCCAGCTTCATGTCGTTCCCTCGCTGTACAGCTGAACCGTTGATAGTTTTTTGACGCCGACTAAAAAAATAATAAGCCATATTAGAGACATGATATAAAACATACCCTTTACCGATTTGTATAACTAAAACTCAATGACTCAATAATTGGGTAACAAAAATACTTAGCTTTTGAAACAAAGTTTATTGGAGACAAGTTATAAAATACAGCTTTTACCGACTTATACAACTATAACTCAACGATGACTCAATAATTGGATAACAATAGCACTTAGTTTTTCCGACACAGCAAAAGCCCTTAACTACCGATAACTCGCGTAAGTTGTGAGAGTCATTTATATCCCTCAAAAACCAAGGACGCGTGTGCCGTTGCAGGGGAGCAGAGCGACATGCGGCTGGTGTTCCGGCTGGAGGGGTGCGGTGCCGCGTACGGGTTCCGCGCCGCGCTCGAGCTGCCCTGCCACCGCCTCGTGCTGGCCGCGCGCTCGCGCTTTTTCCGGTGACGCACACGCAAACGCACACACGCACACACACACATCCGGTTCACCGAAGGACCACCTTATGCAACACACACACACGCACCCATTTGACGTTTGCATCCGCTCACCGAAGGACCTGCCTTTGCAAAATCGTCCTAGCCCTTATCCCGCCTAAGTGGGGCGGCACATCATGTGAATAATGTTGCTAGTGGTACTAGTTGCCTGAGGTCCTTGGGAACAAACATTTACATCGGGAACAATTATCTGTGGGTAACACAAATACTTGTCTCGTGCGGGAATCAAATCCACGACCACTTACCCTAAACAAATAGTTTAGCAAACATTTTCTGTTTAGTGTGTATTATACATGAAAAACACTCTCTTCTTTATTCTTATATTAAAGCTGTGACTTATATAAAAAAACTAAATTTGAAAACATAAATATAACAAAATGTTAAAGGCCTTGAGGTCAATCGGCGTTGAGTACAATTTAAAATGTTGAAATCGATAAATGTACCGTAATCATAATTTCCCACAACGCAAGAACATCCCTTTAAAGTGCCGTCAAGGTGCGGGCGAATGTGTACCTTGCGCGTGTGCGATAAGGTCTGTTTTGGGTCGGCAGGGGCGTGCTGTCGCGGGGCGGCGCGGGCGGCGCGGTGTGCGCGGACGAGCGCGTGCTGCCGAGGCGGTTCGCGCGCGCGCTGCTCCACGCCGCCTACACGGACCAGGTGCGACGCACGCGCACGCACGCACGCACGCACACACGCACGCACACACGCACGCACACACAACAAGTGTCCACGAACTACGAAAGCCACAGCCGATGGACTTAACTTAACTACTAACTCAGTCCGGTCGATTTGAGTACCGTAAATATAATGTTGAGACATTGATTTGAATATAAAATTACACATTCACCAATCAAATCTTCAATCAACGACGTCAAAACTCGCGTTTCCACAGCAAACACAGCAGACCCAGTATGGCTGTAGAAATATTTACACCAGTTACACTATATACACCTTTATACATGTACACACAATGTAAAGTAATGGTTCAAATAAAGTTTTAACCTTACATACATACATATATGACTCAGTCTATCAACACATTTTTCACATTTTTTTTATATGCTTACTTTTTGATCAGTTACATTTTTTGTCCTGACACTTCCTTTACAGTCTTAAGGAAGCGATAAAAGATGGGTGATTTTGCTTCACAGGTGGACCTTGGGCTGATAGGGAGAGGTTCTTCATCACCGTCCTCCACTGGAAGCACTGGAAGTGGCCCCACGGTTTGTGCATATACCAATATGTTATTTAATCCAGACGGACAAATCGAGGTTTAGTTAAAGTAATCCATAAATGCGTTTTACTTTGCTTTATTATGTAAGTGATGGAGGCTGATGCATGGGGTATATTCTGTTTCCTACTTTACGGCTTGTCTTATTAGAATTCTGTCAATGTCACGTCAGTCACGTTAGCGACAATTATTAATTGACGACCTGATTGGTATAAGCTAGGAATGTCCACTCTGCCCCTCCAATTTTTTCGGTAGATCCTGTCCCGCGATTGTATCCGTTTTTGTGTATTGAATTAAATATTTTGATTAATATTAATTTAATACAATTATCTATTTGGCATAATCAGTGGTTATCCGCAGCAGGCGTGGGGCGGCGTCTCCAGGAGCTCCCCGCGCCCCACCAGCACCAGCGCCCTGGACGACGCCTTTCAGCTCTACGAGATCGCCAGGTCGGTACGGTTGGCGGCTGCGCTGACCCTGACCCTGACCTTTATTAATGGTTTCGGCAATGGAAACTATTGATTGACGCTTCGAGCGATCGAGTTGATTAGTGAGCATAGTTTGGTGAATAGGAAACTTCACCTTAGTATTAAGAGTTAAGCTAGCTTTGAAAGTAAAGTTAATCACAAAAATTGCAATATAAAAGAAGATATTGTAGTGTGGTAGGGCTGCGAATTGTTGTACGAATGGGCAGGCTCGTCCAGGAAATCGCTTTGGCGTTTCGTCTGGGCAGTGAGGTAGTCGGGGCCCAATTCTATTGAAGGTTGTCAACGCAACGGGCTTCTTCGTCAAAAAGAAAAGTTGTCATTAAATGTCAGTCGTAAAATGTTATTTGATCACTAAGTGACGCAGTCGCCACGGTATCGGCTTCGGCGTCGGGTTCGATTTCCACACGGGACAACCGTTTGTGTGACCCACAGATAGTGTTTGTCCGCGTCAAATTTATGTTTGTAAAACGTCCTTACAACACAGGATAATATCGGAGCACGCCAGATGGCGCCGGACGTAATGTGTGAGTGTGGTGCGGGCAGGTTCCTGGAGATGGCGATCGCCGTGCAGGGCTGCGAGGACGCGATCGCCGAGGCGCTGGCGCCGGACACGCTGGCGCACGTGCTGCGCTGGGCGGCGCAGCCCCACGCCAGCCCCTGGGTGCACCGGTGCGTCAGCTGCGTGGCGTGGCCCCACTTGTGGGAGCTGGTCCTTCGCGCCCGATACGAAAGTACAGTGGCGGTGCTCGCAGGCAGGCGATGCGCTACCTGCGCGACGAGTTCCCCGCCGTGATGGCGCACGCCGCCTCGGCGCGCCTGCCGCGCCAGGCGCTGGCCGCCGCGCTCGCCTCGCCCTTCCTGCAGGCGAGCGAGGCGCAGGCGCTGCGCGCGCTGCTGCGCTGGGCCGAGCGCGCGCCCGCGCCCAAGCACGCGCCCGAGCAGCGCGGTGAGGCCCGTTAGCCGTGTACTATTAAGTATTACGTGTGCAATAGAGTCGCGTGGAGGGTCGATTGAGAGAGGCGTGGTTGCGCAGAGCCGAACGTGGTGTGGCACACGGCGCACGCGGCGTCGCGGCGCGGCGCGCGGCGGCGCGAGGCGGGCGAGGGCGCGCTGCGCGAGGCGCTGGCCGCGCTGCTGCCGCTCGTGCGCCTGGAGCACCTGCCGCCCGACTGCGAGCTGGTGGCGCAGGCGCTGCGCCGCGGCGCCCTGGCCCAGCCGCCCAGCCACATGCTCGACGGCGGCGGCGGCAAGGACGCCTGGCTCGCCAGGGGCGCCGCCCGCCCCCCGCGCTGCTTCCTGCCCTACCTCGACGAGATCAAGGTGAAGGGAACCAATTATATTTCGTGACTAAGCAACGCTTCTGCTATAGACACCTACTTAAACATATGACATAGGAAATATCAATATATCGATTTATGGAATATAAATCCTGGGAACCCCTTTGTCGGCTGAAAATATCGATTTATAGAATCAAAAATATCGATATGTCGATATTTTTTTCACATCCCTACCCTGCCAACGTTTCAGGCGCTGCTGGAGGACCAGGCCGTGCCGGAGGCCGAGCTGGCGCGGGTGCGGAGGGCCAGGTACCTGCACAGGATACCGGACACCCTCTACATGGTAACGCTCTATCCTACACATTACGTTTAAATGGACTTTGCAGAAATGAAGTTACCTTTATTGGGAAAATTACTTATTACACTACATACTATACGAATAAAAAGTTCTGATTTAGCGAAAAGAAATACTTCACACAAGTTGAACCCATTAAACAAAATAGATATTTAAAGATGTGGAAAATTTAATATGTCTAATATGATAGATATTATAAGTTGTACAGGCCTTTCTTAAACATTTTCCCAAAACAATTGATAATTGCTATGTACTGTACATGAGTAATATAAAAATTATTTTTAATAAAAATTATTGACCCTACAGACGTTGTCCTGTACACACGACTTAAATCCTACAACAACTTCAAATAAAAAGTTATGAATCTAAACTATTCTCGAATCGAACCAAAGACACACAAAAAAATTTCATCAATATCTGTCCAGCCGTTCAGGAGAATTTCAGTGACACACACATGTACATAAGAATTATGTATATATAAAGACGTGGGTTTTACTTGAATTTATTAGTTTTGATTTATTAATTTATTTTTACCCCATTATTACATGCATGGTGTTGTCAGTAGTAGTCGTTCTGTTATATCTATTACTAACTGCTGCCCGCGACTACGTCTGCGTAGAATAGGCTGAAGGTGTAACATTCAGACAGATATACATTAAATATGTATATATATTATAACCTATGTCTTATTCTGATGTACAAGCTATATTATTGTAAGGTTTCTTTAAAATCCATTCAGCGGTATTTGCGTGAAAGAGTAACAAACATCTTCACCTTTTTAATATTAGTAAGGATAAAGGCATTAGACTTCTGCGAATGAAAAGCGTGGCGCTGTTTGCAGGTGGCGGCGGCGCGGAACGGAGCGGGCAGCGGCGCCAGCGCGGCGAGCGGTGGGGGCGTCGGGGGCGGGGCGGCGAGCGGAGGGGGCGTCGGGGCCGGAGGGGCTGCGGGGGCGGAGGCGCTGTGCGTCTCGCCGCGCGTGCTGGGCTCGCTGCGGGCGCGCGTGCGCGAGCTGAGGGCGGCGCCGCCCGCCCTGAGGGCGCTCGAGCTGCACGCCTCCGACCCCAGGCTGGTGCACCAGCAGGTGGGCGCCATGTTTGTCTCTCGGTGTTGGGGGGGGGGGGGGGGGGGGGGGGGGGGGGGGGGGGGATTTCCACGCAGCAGCCTCGGCTGTTGCACGAATGGGCAGGCCCGTCCGGCAAGTACCACAACCTCACACAAGACCAGCGTAAAGAGAAAGTATGACAAATACTTCACGTTTCATCTGGTGAGTGATGTAGCCGGAGCCCAATTTTCAAAAGGTTGTCAAAGCATCTGGAACCCTCGGGTGTGGCAGATGTCCGTGGGCGACGGTATTCACTTAACATCAGGTGAACCGTCTGCTCGTTTGCCAACTTTTCACATAAAAAAAGAAAAAAATTGAGCACATTGCTCGGGATGAATCTCCCGAGACTCTTGAAAACTTTCTAAATTTATCATCTCATTTAATATTGTTTTTAAGTATCTAGCTCTATTGAACTCTCGCGTCTCATCTGGTAAGTTTCGTAATAAGGGCACAATTACACACCAATTTTAAAACACATCTACAACTCTTCAGGTGTTGCAGATGTTTTAATTTTATGAAATTATGTAACATTTATTTATTATATACTATTAATTTTACATTTATAAATGTAATTAAATGAGTATTAAGTTATACCGAAATTCATGTAATATGAAAATGTATTCGTATTTTTAATTTCGAATAATTTAATGTAAATTGTATTTAATTTATTGAATCATAACAATTTTTACTATTGCTATGCCCTAACAGGGGCAAAGATGATTCTTAATTTTAAGTTTTTACCACCTAAGCGTCATTGTGGAATGCAAATAAAGACTAAAGACATCCGTGGGTGGCATCACTTATCATCAAATGAACTATCTGCTCGCTTCTCAATTTTTCCCACAAAAAAAAAGTTTACTATTACAAAAGACTGACCATATATATTCCTGCATCCTCCACAGATCGCCTTGAGGGCAGTACGTGAGATGTCTTTGCCAGATTCTTGCGCGGAACTGCTGCTAGACTGCGACGACGGTTCTGAAAAGTAAATATTCACCTTAATGTTTATAAAATTTTTAATTTCAATATAACTGTGGTATGGCCACGCAATGGGCTGTTGCACGAATGGGCAAGTCCGTCCGGGTGAGTACCACGACCTCACAGGAGACCGACGTAAAGTGGGAGTGTTATATTTCTGCGTTTCGTCCGGTGAGTGAGGTAGCCGGGGCCCACTTTATTGAAAGGTGGCAACGCATCTGCTACACTGTGGGTGTTGCAAATGTCTATTTGCGGCAGTTATGACTTAACATCGGGTGAACCGCCAACTCGTTTGCCACTTCTCACATAGAAAAATAGACTTCGATTTAGATCTTAGATTATGGATGACTCCGTGGCGCAGTTGCCAAGGCATTGGCTTCGGCGTCGGGGGTCGTGGGTTCGATTCCCACACGGGACAAACTATTTGTGTGACCCACAGATAGTTGTTTCTCATCTGGGTGTTTGTCCGCGTGAAATTTATGTTTGTAAAACGTCCCTACAACACAGGATAATGTTATCCTAAAGAAAGGGCAATGTTTTATAAAAAAAGAAAGAAAGAAAGAAAGATCTGATTCATTGTCACTGGGGAGGTGAGAAATAATTTTCCTCTTATATATCATTGGAATAGGAATCAACGTCATCTTATTAGGTGTTGCAATATGCTGGCAGCTAGTAGTAAAATTAAAAATCATAATTTGTTTTATTAAATTTTTACTGTCAAGGGTTGTGGTATTGTTTATCGAAAACTAATTATGTCATGTTTGTGCAGTCAGTGTATGTATAAAATATTTAATATGATAAATAATGTTATTTTATAATGGCCATTTTATTTAATAGTTATTTGATTATTATATAATTAAATTACATCTACTTAAAATGCTGTAAACTAATGAATCAAATCTACTGTGTACTTTTGTTTGTTAAAATGGGATTAACGAAAGCTAACACTTACTTTCATTTTAACAAAACAGAGAAAGTGTAATTTACTTGCAAACGACATTTATCGGCAAGTTTACAAACCTGTGGTACTATTTTATTTAAGAAAAAAATAGTTAACAAAGCGGGTATCATCTACGCATGAGATTAATTTGTTCGTCACACAGTTGAAACTTAAGTGAACATTAACTTTTAGTTACGATTTTAATATCGTTATTAAATAACATGTACTTTATATTATCTCGAGTACGTCAAAGGTATGATGTTGATTTGCCTAGGTTTCCACAAGGGAACACGTTAGGTCCTCTGTTCTTATCGTATTAGTGAAACGAGATTTGCACTATTCCAGGGAGAGCGCCGGCGAGGAGGGATGGGAGTGCGCGCGGGAGGAGTGGGGCGAGGCGAGGGGGCCCTCTGCGGGCGAGAGGCGCGAGAGGCACGAGAGGCGCGGGAGGCGCGAGAGGCGCGACTCGGCCGGAGGCGCCGAGAGGCCGCCGCCAGACCTGGACCTCGACTGCTGCAGGTGCCGTCCCTTTCTCGCATCACAACGCTATATGGGGCTCGTACCCGGTGGCCACTTTCTATACCATCACCATTTTGCAACAGCTCGAGACCACTTCGCACTACTGTCAGTCCGTGTCCCCTTTAAGTTGCCTTTTGAGACATGCAGGGGGGGATATCTTAGTCCTACTCTTTGTGCCGAGACTACAATGCTGGCAGGTGCTATCCTTAGAGGACTCTATTAGTCGCCTTTTATGACAGGCAGGGACATACCTTAGCCCTATTCTATAAGCCCGAAGCTACAGGGCTGAGGTGCCAGACAGGCAGGGGAGGATATCTTAGTCCTATTCTTTGAGACTACAGTGCTGGCAGGTGCTATCCGTAGAGGACTCATAAATAAGTATCCGTAGTTGCTAATTCCACCTCACGAGGTATACTTGTAAGATCGGCGAGGATAGAAAAAGGAAGTGAAATCTTTGCTGTGATAGACAGGCTCGTGCGGGAAAGTTGCGCGATCCCACAGAACTGGAAGAGTAATACTTCTGACATCATACTTAAGCTATCGAATTCAGTTATAATGAAGGGTTCCACAGGGGTCTACTCTTGGGCCTTTTCTCTTCCACGTCTACATAAATGAAACCTCTTCTACCAGAACGTATCAATTGCTAAATTCAGAAAGGTTTGTAAACGTTTGTGAGGCTATATAATATTAGTGATTATTTAAATGAGTGTTTTACACTGGGAGTAAATTGATCGCTCCAGGCTCATTCAAGTGGATATCAATATATTATAAACACGTTTTTACTGTCAAAAATGAAACGAAATAATATTGTACTGAGTTTCCATTCCTGGTCCTCCTCAGGTTTTCCTTTCCGAACTGGTTATAGAACTTTGACAAATGAAAAAAATAAGTGAGTGGAATGCTTCTATATTGATTAAAGTTTTTTGAATTTAGTTTGTTAAAAAATTATACCAACTTTTAATTTATTTATAAACGCCTGCGAAATTTGTCATGTCATTGACCTGCTTTAACCGTCAGTGTATAATTTGAATAGAAGCCGTTAACATCATTCTAAGCATCTTTTATTGAACTCCTGATTACACTCCTGAACAAAGTGTTTCACCTCATGAATGAGATCACTGACCGGTGCCAATTTCTCCAACTTGTTATACAGTTTCTAAGGCTGACCTTTAATACAAATTAAAAAGAGCATACGAGTGTTCGAAAAATGTGTAAGTTTCGTGTATAATCGTTGTATACATATTTTTACCAAGTACTTGTCGTGATTTCCAGGTCCGCTGGTGGTTCCCTGCGCTCGGCGGGCTCTGCCCGGCCTCCAGCAGTCTTCCTGCAGGCGGGTGAGATAGAATTGACCATGTTCTATACTTAATCTATATTAAACGACGTTTCGAATACTTTGCGGAATTCATTGCCAAGGAGCGAACTCTCCACTGCTCAGAACTCTTTACCGTTCTGCCCGCTGTCATGCTAGATTAACAAATATTGGCAGCAAACTGCCTGGTTAGTTGGAAATTAGGCTTTGATATAGCAATGTTCGTGGGAGGCCTCTGAACATAAGCCAGTGAACTCAAATAGGCTGAAATGATGATGATTATGGTGTTGCTAGCAATGTTATTCCAAACTTATTAAACATCACACGACATGACCGTGCATTTAGCTCACAGATTACTGTATCGGATCTGGTGTTTGTCCGTTTGAAATTTATGTTTGTAAAATACTTTTACAACATATATCCTAAATAATATTATCCTACAGAAAGGGCATTGTCTTTTGAAAGGAACAAGAAACAAGTAATCTTTTTTAGATATCCGTGAACTAAGCTATCGTTTTGTTACATTCCTTTGGTACTTTTCAATCTTTCCAGGAATAAGGATGCTCTAAAATGCCAATAAATAGATACAGAGTTGTCAATTAGACGTATCGAATCATTGTTGTACCATTAATGAATGATGTTAATTATTCGTGTTTCAGAGCGCGATACGCCGGCCTCATGTCGGAGGGAGCTGCCGCCGCGGCCAGACGCGCACAGGTACCACCACCACCACCACTACAACCATCATCATCGTTCCGTCAACCATCTTTGTCATCATTACATTGTCTATACTTTTGGGTTCTGTCTTTATACATTGAATGTAAGTATCACAGTCAACAACCCTTCGCTTCTCACAAAACAATCATATGCTAATGTATTTGTATTTTGTGTGGAAGGGATTGGTAGCAAATTCCAACGACCACTGCTATCTAAAAGATCTATTGTAATCTTCCTTTCGAAAACATTATCCCGTGTTGTAAGGACGTTCTACATGCATAAATTTCACATGGACAAACACCCAGATCGGTAACAATTATCTGTGGGTCACACAAATAGGTGTCTCGTGTGAAAATCGAACCCACGACCTCTAGCGCCGAAGCCAATACCTTAGAAACTGCGTCACGGAATCATGAAAGACATCACGAAATCACCACGATTTCATGGTCTTGACTGAAGATGAAATTCTTCCATTTAAGGAATAGTTTCCAACGGTTTATGATCCTAAAAACATAAGGTTCCTATGCCCAATCCTGTAATAAAAGGTATCGTGTGACAAGTGGTAAATAACACAAAAATTACTGGTGATATAATTGAAGTGTTGCTAATTTATCCCTTAAAATTAAAATTTGTTGAAAAAAGTACGAGAACCCTTTGGCCGCCGCGGTAATCGAGCCCACGCCTACAGGCTTCGCGCCCAGAGTCTACAACCACTAAGCTAAACGGCTGATTGCCGCACCGGCGAAATTTTAATGTTTAATCTCAAGTGCAGAGATTAGCACTGTAAAAAAAAATATTGTTGAAACGTTCCAGTGATAGCAGCACGGTGACGGTCCGTTCCCAGCGTCCGTACCTGTTACGCCCGGTGTCTGAAACACTGATCATCATAGATGTCAACTAATCAGCTGTCAAGTGGCTTTTCAAATTTCATTTTAAATAAATAAATAAAGAATAAATATTTTAGGACACATTTTTACACAACATTTTCTAGTTCCAAACTAAGCAACGCTTGTAATATGAGTACTAGAAAACTGATAAACATACTTAAACATACTTTTCTTTTGTAAATAAATACATATTATAGATATATAAACACCCAGACACTAGAAAACACTATGTTCATCACACAATATTTTTCCAGTAGTGGGGATCGAACCCACACCCTCTGGCGCAAGAGGCAGGTACACTAACCACTACGCCATTCGGGTCGTCAAAAGGATGGTTAAACTCTCCGAATTGACCAGAATGATCTTCTTAATGATCAGAATGGTAAATTCAAATAGTTCATTATATAATAACATTTGAAAAGCCATTTGACAGCTGATAACCGGGCGTCAGTAGGCGATATATGACACGGTGTCAAGCGACAGGTGACAAGTGACAAGTGACAGGTCGGTGCGGGCGAGGCTGTCGGCGTGCGTGCCCGACGTGGCGATGGCGCCCAACGCCAACACGCACCTGCTCACCGCGCGCGACTACATCTACGCACCCCACCAGCCCCAGCCCCAGCCCCAGCCCCACCAGCCCCACCAGCCCCACCTGCCGCTGCAGCACCAACCGCTGCGGCCCCCAGGTGACCACCGGCTCTGTCCTCTATGGGTGTCTATGACAAATGATCATACTATATGTAACGTAATACCGGTCTATGACACCATATGCAATGGTAAAATGTAACAAAAGATGTTGAATCAGTTAACAAAAGATAGTAAATCAGTTCTTTTATATTTTGCTTCATTATTATTATTGAAGATGAACTGAATGCAATTATTCAGAAGTCACTCAAGTTTACGAGAACTTCGAATGAAGGTAACAATTTATCTTCGTTGGAAGCATACTAATATTTATATCTTGGTTTTGCCAATTTAGTGAGTAAACCGGAACAGCTGAGATCTCTTAAATAAAGGCAACACTCCTCCGACGTATTGTGGTAGTCCACGTGTAGTTTTTTAGAGTTAAACTGCTTTAATTAACCGCAAACGTGAAATGGTTTTACAGTGAGATTGTTTCCTTACAGAGTATGGCGGAGCAATCCTCCAGCTGGACCTAGGGGATGGCGCCACGCACACGCCCAGACCAGGTCAACTGTTTTATTATTCAAAAACTTCTTTTTTAAAGCGAAGGATTGGCAAACAAATGGGTCGGTGCCGGATTAACCACACAGCAAGCAAAGTAGCAATTGCTACAGGCCCTGCGTATTCAAACCCACTCTTCTCTGTCTAAGCGTAATCCTTACTTCCTTACTAATATTATAAAGGCGAAAGTTTGTATGTATGGATGGATGTTTGTTACTCTTTCATGCAAATACTACTGATTGGATTCTAATGAAACTTTACAATGATATAGCTTATACATTAGAATAACACATAGGCTATAATTTAGAATACATATTTTATGTATATCTGCCTTTCTGTCTGACTGTTACGCCTTCAGCCTATTCTACGTAGACGTAGTCGCAGGCAACATGTAGTGGATTTATAAGTTTCAATTATAATTAATTTATGAGTGAAACTTATAAATTAATTAAGAGTATTGATTTGTTTTTTACCACTTTATACTTAAGAACCCATAGCAGATCAAGGGCTGTTTGAAAAAATTTGCTAAGGGCACCGCTTTGCTTAGTCAACCACTGATATGGGGGTTCTTCTGATGCCAAGTGATCATCGCTGCAATGGATATTTACAAAAGGGGCTCTAGATTTGTTGCCATCATCTAGACACAGTGGGCCTTCTAATTTGGAAATGCTAGTTTAATGTATAGAGGTCCGGATTGAAAAATATGCAGTGAAACTCAACTGAAGGTCAGATATTGCTTGAGTCCAAATATAGTGCTGGTTTGTTAAACATTGTGCCTCTTGCGCCAGAGAGTGTGTTCGATCCCCACTCCTGGAAAAATATTGTGTGATGAACATAGTGTTTTTATAGTGTCTGAGTGTTTATATATGTATAATATGTATTTATTTACAAAAGAAAAGTATGTTTAAGTACGTTTATCAGCTGTCTAGTACCCATAGTACAAGCTTTTCTTAGTTCAGGACTAGAGATTGTTGTGTGAAAATATGTTCTAAAATATTTATTATTATTATTATATGTTTGTATGCTTTAGGGTCCCGTGCCCAGAGGAATGCCGGGAGGCAGCAACAACAGAGGGACTCCACACATTCTGCGGTGAGTTTGCCATAGCGCTTTATCAGTTGTTTTATTCACCGTCCTCTCCTATCAACTGGCACTTTTACCTTGAATGATTTTCTGTAATAAGTCGCTTTAAATAATTTGTTATTAAAGTAGGTCAATCATAGTTCAGATAAATTGTAAATAGAACTAATAATACAAGAAGAAATAACCGTTCATTTCAACTTGAGTATAATTTCATTTTTACCTATTTGTTTCTACATGTGAAAATTTGGATTTTTCGTATAAAACATTGTGCAAGCTCTTAGTATAATGCTTTAAGTATATTATTTAACATTATACATATGAAGTTGTATTTCTAGTAGAAAATAAATGGTGTTCTTTTTAAATGTCCTGTTGAAATAATGACTCATTAGAAAATTAAAATTATATTTGTATATAATACAAGCGCTGATATTTGTTTCTGAAGTAAGTAGACACAAAAACTATAAAATCTATGAGCATTTGAAACGCTACTATATTTCTAAGCGTTTTATGGGGTGTATTTTTGCAGGGTCTCTTACTGATGCAGTCGTTGGTTCATAGCTTCAAGGTATTCTCTCGCCTACCTCACCATGATTCCTCGGGGGCATTGCAACTGAGACCGTATGCCTTGTCCGCTTTTGCGAGCCAGGCCGTATGCTTGGGGTCTATTTTTGCTCGCGACACCGTAGACCTTTGTCTTGAGGTTTACTTTTGCATATGAGAGCGCATACCGTCGAGTCGAGGTCTGCCATCGCAAACGCGACCGTATGCCGTTGACTTGGGGTTCACTTTCGCAGGCGCAGCCGAGCGCTCGAGCCCGCTCCGAGGACGAGGAGCTGCGCGCCGCCATCGAGCTCTCCGTCATGAGGGGTGAGAGCTTTTAGGGTTCCGCACCCGAAGGGGGACCCCATCTCGTGAACCGCATCATGTATTTCTGTTGCCGCTGTAACAGTAAATACTGAAAAAACGGAATAAATCGTGTGCGACTCGGACTAGCAATTGGCCGCTGTTTTTTTTTTTTTTTTTTTTTTTTGAATAATGTGGCAAACGAGCTGGCGGTTCACTTTAGTGATGTGAAAAGTGAAGAACAATATCGATATATCGATATTCATAAGAATAGCAATATCGACCTCGGTATATCGATTTTTTTCTGTTGCAGACCCATTTTCCAAAAAAAAAAGGCCAGTTAAGTAATAAATCTTTGACATCTACAGACTCTATGCTGGATTCGAATTAAAAAAAATATCAATATTTTTTCGACATCCCTAATTCAGCCGATGTTAAGCGATAACCGCCGCCCGTTGACATTTGCAACACCCATAGAGTAGCAGATGCGTCGCCACCTCCTAATACAGTGGGCCCCGGCTACCTCACTAACCAGGCGAAACGCAGAAGTGCAACACTTCCAGAGCTGCCCATTCGTGCAACAGCGAAAACTGTTGCGTGGTCCTACCTCAGTGTTCGTTTCCTTTCGCAGCGTACTCTTCGCTGGCAGGAGCGAGTGCCGCGCGCTGCCGCCCCTACGCCGACCTGCTGCCACACGGTGAGTCCTGCAACGAACGAAGCCCACCGCCACCGCCTGCCACCACCTGTGCCCGCTGTGCAACCTCGTCTGTCTCATCAGACCTCGTCACCGATTGCTTCCTATCCATGAAATTGTGTGGTCAATAAATATTCCATTCAAAAATTCTAAAACGTATCATGCATGTCTTTATGACGCAAAAGAAGCGTCAGTACTTTTTTTTAAAGAATGCAATGGCAATCGGTTCGCTTGGTGATGTTAAGTGATAACAGCCGCCCATGGATATTTGCAACACCCTTATAATAATCTAAGTATCTAATTATATTGTATATCCCATGTTCTTCCGGTTAAATAAACGATTTATTATTTATATAGTGAACTCCGGTTACCTCGTACACCAGACGAAACGCAGAATCATAACCGAGATACCTCTTTCGATCTTTGCCTCTTCTGCCGTTTTATTTCAAGAGCTACTCTGGCTCTGGTCTCACCGTCTCTCCTTCGATTGGGGCCGGCAGAGTTCGCGGGCGTGCGGAGTCGCGCCACGCCGAGCCCGTCCGCGCTGAGCGCCGGCAGCGTGGGCAACGTGGGCGTGGGAGCCGCGGGCGGCGTGGGCGTGGGCGGCGCGCCGGGCGTGGGCAACGTGGGTGGGGCGGGCGGCAGCGGCGCCATGGCGCGCAGGCGCCTCGACAGACTCACGCCGCCGCCGAGGCTCTCCCGTGAGTCCCTCTCTTCTCTTCTTCTCTTCTCTTTTATTCATTGAGAAGGAGTTGAAGTCACTAATCTGTTCTTGTTGGAAGTATATAAATGTTAATGTTCATTTTATTTTGTACTAGTGCGGATATGACTGTACACTAATATATGGCCATGAGGAGCCGTCACCGTCGGCTCATTATGTAGCATCGCATCAGTGGAAATTAATTTGAACAATGAGTATTTAGAAATGTTATAAATCTAATGTTATTTCTACGTAATATATAGAAAATAGTTGTATAAAGAGTGTAAACATATTAAGATGACTCCGTGGCGCAGTTACCAAGATATTTGCTTCGGCGTCGGGGGTCGTGGGTTCGATCCCCACACGGGACAACCGTTTGTGTGACCCACAGATGTTGTTTCGCATCTGGGTGTTTGTCCTCGTGCAATTTATGTTTGTAAAACATCCTTGCAACACAGGATAATGATATCCTAAAGTGAGTACAATGTTTTTAGTAAAAAAAATTATGTGTGTTGAGATAAATTTCTCCTAGAAATCTCAATGACCAATAAAAATATATAAATATGTATGCTAAATGAACGTTGTATATTTTAAAGTCAATTAATAAATAAAAGTGGGGTCCGGTGAATGGTCCTTCGAGCTCGACCGTTCCCGGTAATAACCGAGCCGCTGTGCGCGCAGTGGGCCTGGCGGGCGCCGCCTCGCTGGGCTCGGGCAGCCGCAGCGCCACGCCCAGCCCCACGCCCAACCCCACGCCCACGCCCACGCCCAACCCCACGCCGCGCCGCCCGCGCGACTACGCGCCCTACCGCCACCACGACTACAGGTCTGTCCCATTCTGTCTCTCTTTTCCTATCTTATACGTGTATTCGTAACCAACAGTGTCGGGTTTGAAACGAATTAAAATTAGTGATGATATTAAAATTTGTATAAAAGTATACGAAAAGTTTGTCGCCGGTGCGGGAATCGAACCCAAGTCCTCGGCATTCGCGGCCTGACGCTCTAGCCACCGAGCTAAACGGCCGTTTGCGACACGGACGAAAATCTTAACTGCCTTTTATCTACACTGTTTTTTAGCATTTGACGCAGTGCTTGGCGCATCCATTGTTATATTTTTAATCGATGATGATTTTAATTAGTATTTACAAATAGTTCATTCCTTCGTACATCCGTTCGTTCCGTTCATTCCGCTCAACGTTCCATTCTCCGTTCTGTTTCAGATGAGCGTGTCGCGCTCCCGGGCACGGACTGATTCTAGGTGTTTACGTGAACTGGTTCCGCGCTATGATCTCAAACGGGGGGGGGGGAGGGGGGGGGGGGGGGGGGTCGCGGTCTCCCGTTTAGCTAAACTTACAAAGGACTTGGGCACAAACAAAACTTGTTAAAATTCGTAAATCGTAGCGTTACACACCCTCCCCCCCTCCCTCCTCTATTCCTCACCCCCACGGCCGTTGCATGTGACGGTCACGATGTAAATAGATAATATATATATACATATACTGTATAAGTTCGGACGGTTTTGTACGTACGAATGTAGGGCCGAGCGGTCGAGAAGGAGGGTCGGCGGAGCGGTGGTCCCGGGTCTAACTCGAGCAGTCGGCCACTGCATGGCTTTTGTATGGCTTAGGTCAGTTGAAAAATGACGCCAAAATATAATACTCAAATGCCATTATACAGCACAAACAAATTGTTTGTAAAAAGTCACATTCCTCGTATTATTAAGACGATGACAAGCCATTTCATAATAAGGGGAGGGGGAGGATATATAATACTTCAAGAGCCAACATAGCCTTCCTATCTGATCTTTTTCCCACACGCACAAACAAACAAACAAAAAAAAAAACACACACACACACTGCAAGTCATTTCCGCAAAAAGTCAAATTGAAATTAAATTTATCGATATGTGATTTGTACAACACTAAAAAAACACCATAGACAAGTTTGGCTAATTTATAGGTTATTTCGTATACGAATATAACCCACCTGAATTATTTGGTTTTTTTTTATACAGGGAGACTTTTTTAAAGTTGCCCAAATTTACTCAGTAGTGTAAACGTTTATTGAAAGAAAATACAAACTTTTTTTTCAAAAAAAATTCCCATTTTATTCCCTAAAAAACAAAACTTGTTGACAACGCGGTATTCATTCATAAATGCGTCGTATGATTTTGAAACGAACTTGTGTGCGTGTTAGTTATGAATGATCGCGCGTAAAATAAATGAGTTGCCCATAAATCACGCACTCTTTGAGATAAGTTAAAATGAAAGTGATTAATTAATTACGAGTGATTTTAAATATTTATCATTTTTTATATAACATTATTTATGTCTAGAATTTAACTAAGAAAAAAAATGGATACACTTAGAAAAGCCTCCCTGTATACAAATCACGAGTCGATGAACACAAATCGTCCCTTATTATATTATAGTTTTCTGTATGACATTCCCGGCTAGACTTGGGCCACCGCTCTTCCTGCAAGGACGAGGTCGATTTCAATGAAAACCTCCATTTTCGATTTATATTCCATATACTCATTTAAGCCAACTCCAGCACTACCGACGCATCGCTGGAACGAGACAGACAGTTGCTCCATCTCTTTTACTCTAATGACGGCCTTATTACTCGAGCTAATCGGCAAATAATCATGTCAGATAGTAATAATAAATCGTTTATTTAAGCATTTATGTCTCGCCAATTATTTATTATTTCACGGATACGTCGAAACGAAACGATTTAAAGCGCCTTTAAAAATCTGACCAGTGATGCCCTACGCCGTATTCGTTGTCGATACGAAAAGAAAAATCACCGGCTAGTGATGTTACACGGCAATTTCGGTGTCTATGCAATGATTTCATTTCACCCAGAAAGCGGCTGGTACTCTACTCGTGTCAACTGATTTTCTTTTAGACTACAAGAGTCTGTCGTAGGAATGTCGATAGTGAAAAAATATATCGATATTTATTAAAATATCGATATACCGAAAGGAAATATCGGATGTAAGCCCGTATTTAATACACACTCAAAAAGCTGTCAAAGCTTACGGTCTCTGTGCCGGATTCTAATTTGAAAAAATATCATTTTTGATATTGAACATTTTGTATCGATACATCGGCTCCAAATAGATCTCGCCAGCGGTGCTTGCGTAGTGCTGTCCCCAGCACGGTCGGCCGTTAGTGATGTTCCGTTCGTGGTCGGGGCGGCGGCCGCCACTTGGGCGAGAGGCCATTGTGTTCAGGGGGCCGCCGCGCCCAGTTGGGACCCTGTTCGGACCCTCGTTGCGTTATAGGGTCGAGTGTGTCCCCAGTGCCGAGTTATCAGGGAGGTGCATAGAATTGGCACAAATACATCTGTCTGTATGCACGATACTCTCGATCGGTTTCTGAAACACCAATCAACTTAGAAACTTACTAATCATCTGTCAAAAGTCATTTGAGTTGCTGTTCAAAAGGATGGTAAAAAGTTAGGTTAATTTAACCGTCCTTCTGGCAACTAAAGTGATATTTGAAAGGCCATTTGACAGCTGATTAGTTAATTTCTACGATAATCAAGTGTCTCAGAAAGCGGGCGTCTGTCTCAGTTAGCGGCTCTGATTAAGACCACCATCGTCTTGTCTTTGCGATGGGCATAGCCGGTGGGATAAATATCACGATATTTGCGCCACTTAAATCCGCTTTAGATATTCGTAATGACTACATCAAATAACCATACAATACCAAGCTGTAACGAAACCTATGTTGTGTTCATTACGAGTTATATCGATGCAACCTTCAATTGCGACGCCATCTGGATTTTGATTAAACAGTGGAGTTGAGAGAGATTTGTGTATGTGACCGCAATTGACACACACGGTCGTTTCTTAAATTCTTAATGGTTCAAATTCGAACCATTCTGAGCTGACCTGTACTAACGCAGCCGAGGGACCTTTTCATTTGGGAGTTTCTTCCCAATGCTGTACCTCAGAGGCGTACAACAGTAGCTCCACAATTTTCAAAATTATTTTACTTACACCATTAAATTCGCAATAACAAATTCTACACAATAGTATAAAGCATTAAGTCGTACAACGCCTAATTAACAAAATATCCAATCGCATATGACATAATCAATAATGCATTCAATGATTCACTCCACGCATTTTCGCCTTGTGTCGCATATTTTGTTTACCTCTGAGGTACAGTGTGTACATCGTGAATTAAAATCCACCCAATAGACTTGCTAGGGGTTCGGATTCCACTCAATGGCTTACCAATCGCTCGCCTCCAGGACACACTCTCCTCAACGCGAGTGCAACGTAGTCTTACTACAATCGAACCTAGCTCTTAAGTGTCCGTACAATTTGAATCATATACTCGTTTTCCGTTTCAAGGGCCGTTTTTATCAGGCCCTTGCCGGGGTCCTTTTGGGACGCTTTCCGATCTTGTAGGTTATTTATTTTTATCGTTGTCTGAATCCGCACAAACGTGTGTTCAACGGAGCGCGTGTCGATGACGGGAGCTCGGCACATCACTAGCACAACTCTGGCGATGTCATATGGTTGTCACAACCAATGAAATTTATTTTATATCGCCCGTTGTTCTTAAACAAAGTCAAGCAACGATTTTAATATTGTTTTGATGATAAACATTTTTACGCTTTTATATGTTTTAAACTTGAGAAAAACGACGATGTTTGTTACGCCGGTAATTTTTCTTTTTTTTTATTTTATCGTGAATATTGCCAATATATGAAGTTGCAGAATATTTTCCTAATAGATAAGGGTTTTTCATAGATTTAAAATTTCTTTGTTTTAACGTCCGTGAAAATGAACCGTTGGGGTTGTGTTGGTGACATGAGACTTGAGCGCTCGAACCCGTCTAAACGTAAGATCACAAGAGCTTAGTGCTGGACGCCGTGTAGAAAAGGTAGTTTTCATCTAACAACACTGCCAGTTTCACATAGATTTAACAATATTTCCGTCATAAAACGAGGTGTTGGTACAAACGCCCTAAGCTCGTGTGAACTCACCGAAACGAAGCAATATTATAAATGTTATGATTAATGTGGGGCGATTGATTGTTTCATTCCGTCGGTCATCCGCTGCGAACAAAACAGGCGAAACAGGAGTGTGCGGGATGCTCTTCTCTAGTTGTGTGGAAACGTATAGTTATTATGATAATAAATCACACAGGAGGTTCAGACTCTTTTAGTTATAATCTTTAATGTTTTTCTTTTCAAAAAATTGCCATTCTATTCCCTAAAAAACAGAAATTGTTGACAACGCGGTAGTCATTCATAAATGCTTCGTTATATATTTGAAACGAACTTGTGTGCCTGTTAGTTATGAATGATCGCGCGTAAAATAAATGAGTTGCCCATAAATCATTCACTTTTTGAGATGAGTTAAAATTAATGTAATTAATTAATTACGAGTGATTTTAAATATTTATAATGTTTTATATAACATTATTTATGTCTAGAATTTAATTTAAAAAAATGGATACACTTAAAAAAGCCTCCCTGTATATTGTGAATTTATTATGACAAAATATTCCGTAGTCTATTTTGCTTTTGTTGTATTTTTGTTTAATTTTCTTGTTACACTTTTAATTTAAATATTTTTAAAGAATAAAATGTCATGGCAGATTTTTGTTTTGGAAACCGAAATATTTGGAGCTCCAATATGCAGATTATATAGAGAAGAGCAACAGGTTCGATATGAAATCATTTTTTATCTTTCCCGCGCCTTTTGCGCATCACGCACATGCACAGATTAAGTATTGTCGCGGCGGATTCCCGCAAAAAAAATTGTAAATAGCACTGTTGAGATATTGTTTTATTCCTCGATTGGATGACGGCGTCCAATAATGTTGAGTTTAGTTAGGAGTTGTCGGTCGGCAGTTGTTGACGAAAATATTATGTAATTACGAATATTATATACGAATAAAATATTTATTCACACTACTTTGTTTTATTTGTTCACATTGTCCCTGTATTGTTCTTTGCCGCCCTAATTGTAACACATGTAGGTAAAATAGTTTAACGCGCTAATTACAGAGTTGTAATATGGACTAATTGCCAATTAATTCGGCTACCTGGTACACGTATCTATTATATGTGCATAATTTTTTTTTATTTGATAAAGTGGCAAACGAGCTGGTACTTACCAGGACGAACCTGCACATTCGTGCAACAGCACACTATTGCTCGTCCCTACAACAGCTATTGTAATAAATATATACA